GCTCAAATGTAGCATGTAGATCCCAGGACCATGCTCCACCCCTGTTTGCCTGTCTTGTACAGCCCAAGGACGGAGTCCTCCGTATGGCTTCAGGAGTCACCATTTAGGGAGATGGTGCTCGAGGAAAGACAGGCACAATTCCCCACATATGTCACATCATTCAGAGCAATTCTCCTGAGATGATTACGGAGTACGGAGTACGGGATTCTGTCTTCATTCACGCTCTACCTGACGTAATAATCAACGGACCTACCTACAGGTACTGCGGACGGAGTACAGAGTACGGAGTACATTGTGGTGAACTGCCAGGTGTTCCTGGCCAAAGCGTCCAATTGACCTCCGTCCTGCTGCCACGTCTCACAGGATCTCCGTAGCCACGAGGCCCTCTAAAACTCGTCAGTGGCTGGGTCTACTTAGGTACAGAAGAACACTCCGTCGAGTCCGTCCACTTCTCACCCTGAGAATTGCTACATTCTGTCCACGGGCTCTACTCCGCATTGTTAACTTCAATAATTATTGCTCTTTCATCTCCACTGCATTCGTCAAAGAACTATTTTGCTTGGCTGCCATGGTGGGCCTTGCGGGCTCGCTTCCAAGACTCTAGACTGGTCACGGGGCAAATCGACTGGCGTAGTTTTCCCCGGAAAATTTTTCACTTCTCCATCGGCCTCAGGCTGTCACTCTTGAGTGGTCTCTTTCGCCGTGTCGGCGTCACCTGTTTGCTCTTCAGCCCGCGGCGCTCCGCTCTTTGCCCTTTTACGGTTTACCTAGGTAAAAAAAATTCTCCCTGTTGCCGCATTGCCGCTCCTGGCCCCTGCGCTCTTTCCCCGGATTTTCAACCCCGCAATCCTGGGATCTCCAATCCAACGGCGCCCCTCGTCCTCCCCCTGCCACTTCATGCTGCTGCATGCATCAGTCTCAGATCAGGGTCGCACGTCCAATGGATGCTGACAGAGGGGCTTTTGTGGACTCTACAACCGGGACTTGAGAGTCCATTGGTCGAAAGTCTTTCCCAACAAATGAAGATGGGCAGAGGTGGCCACATTCGAGATATTTCCAGCAAATTATTTGCTTACTACTATGCGGACAGAGTACGCAGGGGCCTATTCCTTGCTGCCAGACAAAACCTTTCTGGCTTGACTACGTCACGTAATCCGCCCACTCCGGCTAGTCGACGTCACTTCCTACCTACTGCTGAATGCATCTCATCTCACGCCTTTCCCAACCTACTACCTGAACTGGATACCCTTTGTAACGGTCCATCTCTGGTTTCTCCTTAATTTCCTTCTCAGTCTATCGTTTCTATAAAGTCAAGTCGATATGAATGGAATCTGAATCTAAGAGAAAAATTTTTTTTTGAAATTTGCGCTAACCTGCTCCAAAGACAGGTCAGCTGACTGTGTGCCCCATTCAGAGAGCCACAATTTGCGTGGCGCGTGATGGGCTCGCAGTAAGCAGTCAGCAATGTGGCGGGAAAGACACACGAGGAATTAACTCATCTAGACAGGATTTTAGGGGCTTTTTGGCCCTCTTCAGCTCTGCGAGGAAGAGCAGTAATCGCGCGACACTGCCTCGTGACTGCCCATACCGTATAGGGATCTGTTTCTCGGACGCCATTGTATATCTTGCAGCCAGTCAACACCCTGTCTGACCATATAATGCTTTACTTTCGGCTCAAGACTGTCTGTCTATATTCTAATGAATCCTTCTGCAACACGAGAGACTTTTCAGTCTGCTGACAATCTCGACAGATGCCATTCTTTTCTTTTTAGTTAGATCCTCCACAATCATCTGTGCAACCCCAACGAGTGACAGGAAATGCAAAGCTTTCAGCTCTGAGAAGAAAAATAACAGTCTGTTCTCATCAATGCTCGATCTACAGAGATAGACTGAGGATACTTTCTCCCGGCCACTATACCATTTCTGAGAGAGGTTGTACTCAATGGCTATGACTGGGGGTGTATAACTTACAGAAGCCCCTTGCCATCTCAGTAAGATCGCAATTGGATTGGGTATACAATACGACTCCCAGCAGAAGCCATCCGGTAGCCCGTTGAGGGCTATCACGCTGAAGGCTAGGCTTATACAATTAATGGAGAAAAGGGCAAGAGATGAATTTTAGGTTGTAAGGGCGGTGGAGCAAACAGTTACCTGCACAAATGGCACTTGTTTGCAGTAACGGTAAGGCTCATATCTTCATTCAGGAACTCGAGGAAAAGAAAGGTTAATAGTCAACGATGAGGAACACCTCTCAATTAATTATCCCCTGAAAAGGAAATGCACGCACACGTCTTCGGAAACAACCAGACCTTTGATAAAGCTGGCTTTTATTCTCTTGAAGCCACACGAGCAGCTCCTATGTATGCACCTACCAACCTATGTAGGCAATGATCTCTTGGATACAATTCCACTATACTAAAATCAATTCTCCTGGATTTAACGTCCGGTATATAACAGCCAGGCCACTCCAGAAATACATTGTATATGGGCAGATGCACGGACTACCTAACAGCATTGAGTACATACTCTGTACACTGGAGGACAGTGCACAAGACAAAAGGCATACAACAAACAACTCCAGACTCTCTTGCAGGCCATTAACTGCAGTCAAAACTCGTGCACTGCTTGTTTCAAGTCTTTTCCCTTTCCACCTGCAACGCCAGCTCACGTGATCTTGCCCTTCTGTTAAGCACTTGCCAACTAATCTCCTTTGCACTGAATAGTAAGACACAGCATGGGCACTCTGTCGACTGACAATTTGAAACCCCTCCGGTTTCCTACATCAAATGCTGGCGCTTCACTGCTCGTGAACACATTCCACCTCCTCCTACGCCAGTGACTTCAGGCTGCTGCCTGAGCGACGAAGCTGCTGAACTCGAAAGAAAACAACTGCATCCTGTTGAACGGTGTCTTCGCCATCCTCCCTTGTCAGGTTCCGACGGCTCCTCGAGCATCGATCTGGAGATCGATGCCCCTTTACGAGTGGGAGACGAACACAATTCCCAGGTGGTCCTGGTTCGCATTCTCAAATCCGATCCTCGTTTGGATGGCTTGACAAAGGACACACGCCTAGTCGCTAAAATTTACGACCCTCTCTATTTCTTTGATGATGATAGCTATGTGAACCTCTTCCTCTGTGTGGATAAGCATTTCACGCACGAGGTTTCCGCTTATGCGGCCCTTTCCGATCTTCAGGGATCGATGATACCCAAATATTATTGATCGTTTACCCTGGATATCCCTGTCAGACCAGACACCACGCGCTCTGTGCGTCTCATTTTAATCGAGTTCATACCCGGATTGCCACTGCGAGATGCTGATCCCAGGAACTTCTCACAACGGGAACGTCAACGGATCATGAAGGCTGTGGTGGATTTCGAAACCTTGCTATACTCCCGAGACATTGTTCACAAAGATATTCATCCGAGAAACATCATTTTGGCTGATGATAATAGATCTGGATGTGACGATCAAAGACCGTTAGTCTTTATCGACTTTGGCGATGCTCTCTTCGGCCGGACAAGTTTTTACTCTGACGATCCCGCTGTAGAAGCGAAAGCTCTTCCGGGAACTTACATCTCTCCCTTACTACGATGGCATGGAGTCCGTCGCCCTGCCTTTGAATTTGGCAACTGGGTCGACTGGGACTGGCAGCCCTGGCTTGAAGAAGAGTATGCGCACACCGCCGCGTCCATAACGGAAGAAATGCGGGAGCGGTTCCTCCCGAGCTTTCTTTTCGAACCCGTGAAGTCACCGTGGGAAGATTAAGGGCACTGACCGTTGCGGTGATATGATCCAATGTTACTTACATCCCGATTTTTGAATCTCTCTCCGCACTTGAAGTGCCTGATTTTTTTAAGACCTGACCCCCGACATCCGAGCCCACCGATCAGGATTTCCATTTCTCGAAACTAGGCGTGCCCCTGTTACAGAACTCAGCGACTACCCCCTCCCCCCTCCCCCGCTGGCACGGGGGAAAACGCGAATCAATGCGACGAAAGGCAGCAGGAGAGTTTGTGTAGCACTAATTACCCTAGTTGCGCAATAGTTGTACAGGGATTACCTTACTCACCTGCCCCTTACCCTAATTGTGCAAGCTTAAGGCAGTATTGTTTACCTACTAGAATAGGAAGGGCAGTTGACCAGGTGCTTGTAGATTTTGCTTTTGCTCAGTAGCTAGTAGGCAGCAGCCTATATATTATCTACAATTCTCTTCTCGCGCACCTAGGACACAGCAGCAACAGCTTGTGCAGATGGACGATCCTGGTTCAGTAAAACCCTGTTCACCAGAAGGCGCGTGGGAGTTCTCAAATCACCCTAGAATTCCTCTAAGGAGAAGACATTTGAGTATGCTAGCTTTTTGACCAAATTTTACTTAGAACTGTCATTTGGTTTTCTGTAAAGGGTTGCAGTGAGCTACGAATGTACGAGGTCTTTCGTGAGTTCTGGATGACAAAAGGTTACCCAATTAGGTATCCACCTGATCACGTGGCAATCGATCTGGATACTATTCTGCCGCCTCACACCGCCCAGAGAAGACCTCACATTTGATATCTCCGCGCCAGATTACCTCACCTCTCAGACAGGACATATCCAATTCGCATATTTTCGACGATCCTCCTGATAAAGTGTTTCAGCAAGGGTTGGCGCGGATTTCATCATCTTCCGTGCCCCTTATTGTGCGTCCTCGATTCCGATTTGCCTAGTTCGTCGCGCACAACAATCGGCTGGTCATTGAAAAAGAAAGAGCAGCGAGCTTCTGCAGCAACAGGCGCCTTTGAGCGCTGACTGTTTTCTGTGGACTCGGTGTCCCAAGCGCGGCTGAAGGAGATACCGTAGTTCAAGATGCCGAAATATAAGTTCCCCCTTCCCCACGAAGGTTCTGTTCGAGTCCTTAACTGACCTTCTCTGCACACTTCTGTAGGTCTTGCCCGTGATCCATGCTTCCGCCTCTTTGCGCATCAGCTAGATGATAAATGAACCTCCATTGGAACGACTCAATGCTAACTGCCTATTCTCGACCAACAGGTGATTACTGCGATGTCTACCTCACGCACGACTCGATGAGCGTGCGCAAGGCGCACAATGCCGGACGAAATCATTTGAGAAACGTGCTGGAGTACTATCAGCGTATGGCCCCCTTTTTGTTTTCGATTAAATTCCCCATGCTCTCTGGGTGATTCCAATTGTCCGAGTTGAGCTGACTGAATACAGAAATCGGGCATGAAAAGGCGCAGTCGGTCATCGACTCGATTACAAACTCGTACGCCGCAGAAGGCCAGGCTGCCGCAAATCCTATGTTGCAGCAAGGTGCACCCGGCTCATACCTGCCTCCGCCTCCGTATGGATTTCCAGGTTAGTCTCGATTGGATATATACGGTGTCAAAAGTGGCCCTGGTAGCTGACTTTTTCATCAGGACGGCCTGGACAGATGCCCCCTCCACCTTTTGGTTTCCCTCCTGGTGCACCTCCGCCTCCGGGTGGCGTTCCTCGTAAGTCATCTACCTATCTTGGCAAATTCCAACAAGCTGGACTCTTAACTAACGCCAATATAATAATAGCTCCTGGAGGCCGAGGCATGCCATTCCCTCCCCCTTTCCCACCACCATCTTCATCGACCAGCGGAGCTCCCGCAACAACAACGTCAACAAGCCTCCCGCCACCTCCTCTTCCTAACATGCCGCCGGGTAGCCTCCCCTTCCCTCCTCCACCTGGTGGCTTCCCACCAAACTTCCAAGCTCCCCCTCCCGGCGCACCCGGGTTCCCGCCCGCTCCAGGCCAACAGCAGGGAGGGGCTCCCGGTACAAGCTCAGCTCCTCCCGGCGCGCCTGGCACGACGAGCTCCGCGCCTCCCAGCGGTCCCCCGGGACAAACATCGTCATACTCTCCTCCAGGCACAGCGCCGCCACCAGGGGTTTCCGGTCCTCCTCCGGGTCTAAGCGAGAAAAAATAATTAATGCATTGTTACATTGCTTTACGTTTTCCTTACTTACTTACGCTCTTATTCCTTTCCTATATTCCTTTTTTTTTCTGTTGTTGTTGTTGTTGTCCTAGATGATACTATCCAATACAAGATACTCCTTACGTGTTAGCAGAACAGCATTGCAATAAGAATTCGAAAGAAATGAAAATAGAAAGCATCTATGTTATGATTCGTGTACGATCGATCCATGTATGTAATTTATGTAATATCAATAATAGTTCACTTATATAGTTTGACAGCAACGATTTCATTCATACAGATTCAGTTCAGCAACCTATTACTTCTTACTTGACTGATTTCCAGTACAAAACAAATACAAACAAAAGAAAAGAACAAAAAGCAAAGCCAAAACCAAAGCCAAAAAAAACCCAGTTCGCCGTTTTCCAGACAGAGACAAAGAAAAAAAAGTAAGTAGTATAATAAGCAAGGGGATATCTGAGAGATTGAGAACAATGGGGATAAACTGACAGTACGATCTTCCGGGAAAGTCTCGTCTGTGCCCTGTCTCCACCATGTGTTAGATAGATAGATAGATAGATACGCCTAAGAATAAAAGGAGACGGTCTGAACGGAATGAGCGAAAAGGAAAGGGGAAAAAAACCACAAGCGCCGGGTCTGGCCCCATTTGCTTTTTTTTTTGTTGTCGACTGTTCTGATCTGATCTGATCGATTCGGATCCGTGCCGAATATGTATTCCAAAATATTCCAAAAAATAAAAAAAATGAAAAATACTGGCTCAGCGAGGACAGACATTATTTTAAGCGCTTCAGGATCCTGTGTGCTAATTAATAATGTCTTCGCCCTAAATAAATCCCCACTTGCCCAGCAGACTCCCTTTCAAGAGATAAAACCCATACATAACGGGACGCCATGCGCAAATCGGTCGCCAAGGCAACACTGACAAGCCAGAAAATGCCATCCCATTCTCTTTGGAACGGGAAGGGGGAAATAAAATGTACAATAAATCGAAGAAAAAAGACACAGCCCCAGGGCCACTTCCTGCACATACTGTCTAAACGCCATATATAAATAATCTGACGCAAGAATACCTGCTAATAAGGATGGAATATGGAATAGGAAACAGAAACAGTGGATGCAGGGACCGTGGCCATAAAAGAGAAAAGAAAAGCACTCGATAGAGTAACAGGATATTCCCAAGCCGAGGGACTGAGAATCTTCTTCAGTCCGTCAGAACACAACACTTAAAACCAAGTTTTGTGGCATATCTTCATCTCGAACAAAAGAAAAATGAGGAGCAAAGAACACGTTTCGTAGCCCCGATTTCTAATGATCATATCCGGCTCCTCGTTGCCACGGACTCGCGTTGTTCTGCTGTCGGTAGTTGTGCGCGCTGGCGAGAGCGGACGCAGGGTTGAAAGTGTTGTCGTAAGCTCGCGGAGCAGGCGAGCTGTTCATTGATCGACCTGGAAATTCGTTGTAAGAGGGCGGCGGGCCACGGCGAGAGGACGCGTCGCTTGGGAACAGCGGCACGGATGGGTCAACAGGAGACCGCGAGGTGTTGTTGTGAGACTCTTCCTGATGTGATCGATTGATGCTCGCACCATTCCCACTGGAGAATGACGTCGCATCATCATCGAACGCGTTGTGCTTCGTCTCACCTCTAGCGGTCGCGCCCAAAGCATCCAGTTCCGTCGTCAACTGGGTCTGTGATTTGATGAAAGAGCCCCGGTCATCCCGCATAGGCTGGTAGCGCATGTCTGGGTTCTTCGAAACAATGGCATAGATGGAAGCAATAAGGACAAGGAGCAAAAGGACCAGAGCAAAGATGGCGTTGTAGATGAAGAAAACCACACCCATCACACCGGTCACAATACCCTAAAGACTAGATTAGTCACGACTTCCAAGGGGTCTTCATCATGCCCAAAACTTACAGGTTGATCGAAAACATCGCTGAAGACCAGTAAAAAGATAGCGTTCAGGAAGTTGATCGAGGCAATCGAGATATTGAAGACATTCGTCTTCTTGTCCATCCACGGGCGAAGGACACTAACTGCAACCAAGAAGCCAGCCTCGATGATAACCAACGCAACGGCTTGCACAACGGGTGCTCCCTGGGCAAAGGCAATGAACATTCCCTTGACCAGGAGATAGACCAGCACGGGGATAACAAAGTAGTAGGCGGTGGCTCGGTACTGCACATACAAGAAGCCCCATTTGTTCAAGCATGTCGGGTCGGAGTAGAGGATGTAGGCTGGATTCTTGTGCATGGCAATGGAGCGCTTCGCAAGACGAATGACCTTGAGAGCGGCCCAACCCAGGACTCCCGCCATGGACAGAAACATGACAATGGCAAGGACAACTTCTGCCGCCGAGTCATGTTTCGTCAACTCCCATAAGCAGAGGACGCACATTTGAGCCCAGCCAATCAAGGTCTATAAAGAAGCGATGTGATATTAGACATGGCGTCCAGCATGTGGATTCTCTCTCAAGGCTACTCACCAATCGGAACAAAATACCCCTCATAACGATCTTCCAACCATTTCTGAAATCTTGGAATTTGTCGCCCTTCATGTGCCCTGATTTGGCAAGTACTTCACAGAGTCCTTTGAAGAGAGCAACACCGATCATGACAAGGGCGACAAAGACGACAAAGAAAATCAGACCCGTCATGAAGATGTTAGTCTCCTCAATATTGGCAATGAAGCCGACTCGGTTGAGGCCCGACACAACGACCTTACTGGTGGACCCAGTGATGGGGGAATTGTCCCTCTTGAGAAGGTGCTCACTGGCTCTCCGGTAGAGTTCGCGCCCAACATCCAGGGATCGCTTCTGGACTTGAACGGAGGTCGTGGCCAGGTCGGACAACACGGTGGAGGGAGTGCCGCCGGTGGCACGTTGATACCAAGTGCAAATCCTTTGCATAAAGGTTACATGGATGATACCCATACTCCACTGGAAATTCTGCGTCCATGCTTCGACGATTGGCGGCATAGCGACGGCCGTCTCGCCAATCATGGCCTGCGCCTGGAAGAACCCAAAGAGGGAAAGGGCATTAGCGGCGACGTGGGCAGCAGTGTTCGAGTGGCCCAGACCGGAGGTGATAGCGGAGGCCACTAAACCCAGGCCAGCGATGACGGCAACAGTCCACTCGACGCCCTTCTGGTAGACCGTCTTCCCATTCGAAAGATTCGCTTCGACACAGGCAATGGTCTTTTGCGTGGCCGTTGAATTGATATAGACCCGAACTTCACCGTCCAAATCGGGAACCGTGTACGCAATACCTAGAGACAACCGTCAGTCGGTTTCTGTAACCAGAGTATTGACCCTATAGCCTGCAGCACATACTGGGAATCTTCGGGATCACTTCTGCGGGGACGGGGATATTGAACTTCTGATCGATCTGACCCGTGTTCATCGGACAGAGCCCTTCGAGGTTCATTTTGCAAGGGTCAAGCTCCTGCTTCATCACGGTGTAGCCGTAGGCGATGACTTCCACTTCGGCCACTATGTTTCCGGAAATCGAGGAGACGCCGTTGATGTCGAGCATCAACGTCTTGTTGTCGGGCGTGAAGACGACATTGAAGAGCGACGCAGTAAAGTTCGAGTTCTCCATGCAAGGGTTCAAGGACTTGGATTCGATGAGCCGAGTGGCCGCAGCCAGCGGCGACAGGGTGACCAAGGCGAAGAGATACGAAAATAACGCGAGTAACCGCATCCTGACAGCCTTCGCTGCGCTGAACAGTCGGAAGAGAAGGGGATTCTTAGAGAGTGCGAGATGATGAGAAGAAGCGATCTGCGACGGGAAACGAGAGAAGATGGCACTCCAGAGCGCCGGTCGATAATGGCCGAATGCGGAAGTCCCGTGACAGCTGCGGACGTTGTAGGAATCGTGGGTCACCCAGACACCTCCAAACCAGACTGTGAGATGGTCGAGATGCCTCTCCTATCACTGCCCATAGACTCTTACGGCGTCATCGGACTTTCGCGAGGGGAGTCGTCTGGTGGGTTGGGTTGGTGATGGCGGAGAACGGAGAACCCCTGGGTCGATTTCCTAAGCTGTGTGACCGATGTCCACGGCGCAACGACGGCAGCAAGGGCCCAACCAGTGAATCGGCGAGAGAAGAGTCTTTTTTTTTAAGAACGAGCGTGTGGTTGTCGGAGGATGGGAGGTCGAAACGACTGACGGCTGAGACGCGGAAGGAAGGACAGCGAGTGGGACGGCAACACACAGTATGGCCAAGGCGTCGTGTAAAAAACAAGACCAGAAGAGGAGAACCGGAAGGCAGAGAAGGCCGACTGGACGAGTGGCAGAGAGCACAGTCTGGCGGATTGTCCGTTCTCTGATCTCTTCCAGGCTGGCGGAGCGGATGGAGAGATGGTAGCAGTAGTGATGGAGGACAGGAGTCAGCGAGAGGACTGCTGGGAGACGGTGGCGCCTGGGGGTGCCAAGTTCAACGGGGCGAGAAGGGATTAGACCGCCCGAGTGGAGAGCCTAGGGGTCCGCGCGGATGCCTAGCAGTGAGCGACCCGGTCCAGGGGCCAGCAGCGATTGTGCTCTGTACTGAGAGATGGAAGCAAGACGGTAGGAATCAGGACTGAAAGAGTCACTAGACAGGCCAGTATCTTATTACGAGGAGAGGCGTGCGGCCACAGGATTAGCAATGGTGATGCGTTCGCAGACCGCAACCGCCCTCCTGCACGCGCGTCCTGGAGGCTAGCGGCGACTGCAGCTGGTTCTGCAGGTCGTGCCCATGGTTTGGCCGGGCCAACCGGAGATCACGGTACGGAAGATGGAGTAGGTTACGAACACTCGTGCGAATCCACGATTGCCCACGGGATGCCGTCGACAGCGCCATGCTTTGGTGTCTAACTGACCCGGGGTTCCTCTCCCTCTGCGTTCCGGCCCTTCGCCGCCACTGGTCGGCGGCCGCTGGTCCCTGGACACTCTCATCACCCGTACCACGGACGCTATGCCCTGTTTCTATTCATGGTTATTCCTCTCGTTTTTCCATATATGTAGGTAGGTCTTCTTGTCTTGCCCTTTTTCACACAGTAATGTCTGACTGCCGACTGGTCCACGCCCTTGAGACGGATCTGCTGACGCCACCTGCCTGCAACCTCAGGTGCAGTTTTAGCCCCAGCCACCCATCGCTGTTGCGACGTCTCGCGTATAATAATATGGTCATGTCGGCTTCCCCAGAAAATTCGAGTATACGAACCGGTTCTATTATGGGAATAATTCGTCGTTATAGGATCGCTGTGCTGACCTCCTCTTGGCCCTCTCGCTATCGCTTGCAGGGCAGAGGGGCCTATCTCGATCACCATCCCCTGCGACCATCTTAAAAGCCCTTGCGCATCTTAGTGTCTGGATCCCAAACCTGGCAGTTACATAGTCTGCGCTTAAAACTGTCTCAACACAGCCACCTCCCTGGGAGCTATACCCGTTCAGGTTCCCAGACACGTTTGAATCAGCTGCAGTGTGACCCTCAAGTCCCTGATAATTTGTCTTGACCTTGCATTATATCCAAATGATGAACTGATGAAGATCTCCTTGACATTACCCTCGCGGCCACAGTTGGAGTGAAGCCACGAGACATACGATGCTTCACTACGAGTCCTCTCCAAGCCAGCCATCGAATTGACCGAATCTGTCGGACTGTCCTCTTCTAGCCTTACCCACATTTGATCGACGCGCGAGCGGTGCCGCAGGCTTGCTCATGACGCGGAGCCCCACCGAACTGAGGTTTGCAGCACGTATATACATACTGAAGTTGACTAGGATTGCGTTGTCATCTAAAAAGAAATTTTGAGGCCTGCTGCTAATAATCTATCTACAACGTAGCTTATGGACAATTCGGTTACACGTCAGCTGAAGGCAATGTTCGCTGGATATCTGAAAAGCAACCATGCCATGCTATTCGTGAGACTGCAGGTAATGGGTCATACTTAACCAGCATACGGATAGGTAGTCATCAGGAGCTGGAGCTTTATCACTGTGATCATTCAGCAAATGCCTTCAGTTAAGTGCAGTATTAACCTGCCCATCTAGAATAAATCAATTAGGCCCATGGAACTGCCTTTCTCTGTTCGACCGTCCTTGGAGATTGACTCTCAGGTGGTAGAAGTATCCATGTCTCCATTACAGATAGACCAAGACAGGAAAATAATTTTTAGGGACTCTGGCTATCTGAGACATCTTATTTATGAACTTCGATATTCCAAAATCGCAAGGATAATCATTGAAGTTCTCCTGGCGTTTCCGATATAGAACATGATTAATTCTTTAAAGAAGTTTCCTGGTTGGTGAGCTCTGTCATCATCGTAAATCCCACCCATGACAGCTAGGATAATACTGTCAAGGATCTGGAAAAGTATAATAAATCAAATCGCCTTCCTAATTCCGGCCCCTGAAATAGGTCGTAGAGTTATTACTCATTTTATTTATTTTTTGAGTAATACCGCAGACGGTTCCCCGGTTTTACAGGTAAGGCAGGGTAGATTCTACTGTCTTAATCCACAATACCTTCGTTTATTTCATCACAAAGAAGAATTAAAGAACCTATCTACCTGGCAGTGTTTCAGAGCCTGTATAACGCACGGACCAATAGGGACGGACAAAAGTGTATCGGCTTTATCAGCACGTGACCCAGAGCTTTGCAAGAACTTTGACCGCGAATAATGTTTCCGCCCGCAAAATCAAAATTTCGGCAGAAAAAAAAAAGTTGCAGAAGGCAGACAAGTACTTCCATCAAACCCATTTAGATTGTTTATATTTTGTCGGCCTGGAATCTCTCTAAAGAGATTATAGGCTTTTCTTTTCACTGAAAAGGGATATTAGGCGAGATGCCAATCGCCGTAGACACTGCGAAGACGGTGTCGAAGAAGAGGAAGAGGAAGCATGGCGGCGGCAGTGGAGGTGCATCGGCAGCAACAACGCAAGATGGCGATACCTCGAAAGCGACCGTCGAAGAGGACCCTTCTTCGACGGTGGATACCGCCGCGGCAGTGAAACCTTCGAAAAAGCGCAAGACCAGCCATTCTGACAGCGAAGACGAGAGCGAGAGTGCCGAGGAAGTGACTGCACCTGTTAGTGATGAAGAAAGCTCTGGAGAAGATGACGACGAGAAGGATGAGGAGGAGGTTGATGAGGAGAGCGACGAGGAGGATGACGACGAAGACGACGAAGAAGATGACGAGGAGGACGACGAGAAGGATGATGAGGAGCAAGATGGAGAGGAATCAGAGGAATCAAGCGAAGATGGCGACAAGGAGGACAAATCCAAAGATGATGGCGCGGATCTTCCCTCCAGAACCGCTGTCAGTCTACCACAGACTGAAGGCGATCCAGAAAAGTTTTCAGACCTCAATCTTTCCGAGAAGACGATGAAAGCGATCCAGGGCATGGGCTTTGAGACCATGACTGAGATTCAGCGGCGAGGAATTCCTCCACTGATGGCAGGCAGGGACGTTCTTGGTGCCGCAAAGACAGGTTCAGGGAAGACGCTAGCATTCTTAATTCCTGCTGTGGAGATGCTCAGTGCTTTGCGGTTCAAGCCACGAAACGGTGAGTATTTTGAGACACGTCAATACGTCGAACAGGCTGGTCTTGGTCGTGTTGGCTGACTTGGCTTCTTCCTCAATAGGCACGGGTGTCATTGTCGTATCTCCTACTCGCGAACTTGCACTCCAGATCTTCGGTGTTGCTAGAGAACTTATGGCACACCACTCGCAGACTTACGGTATTGTCATCGGAGGTGCAAACCGCAGGGCTGAAGCGGAGAAGCTTTCGAAAGGTGTCAATCTGCTCATTGCTACTCCGGGTCGTCTTCTGGATCACCTGCAAAATACCCAGGGATTCGTGTTTAAGAACCTGAAAGCGCTCGTGATCGACGAGGCGGATCGGATCCTGGAAGTTGGTTTCGAGGACGAAATGCGACAGATCGTCAAGATCCTACCTAATGAGGACCGACAGACGATGCTCTTCTCGGCTACACAGACCACCAAGGTCGAGGACCTGGCCCGAATTTCTCTTCGGCCAGGGCCGCTTTACATCAATGTGGATCACCGTAAGGAGCATAGCACCGTCGATGGCTTGGAGCAGGGCTACGTCATCTGTGACTCGGACAAGCGATTCCTTCTGCTCTTCTCTTTCCTGAAGCGGAACCTCAAGAAGAAGATCATTGTGTTCTTCTCCAGTTGCAACTGCGTCAAGTACCATGCCGAGTTGCTCAACTATATCGACCTACCCGTTCTCGACCTCCACGGAAAACAGAAGCAACAGAAACGAACCAACACCTTCTTTGAGTTCTGCAACGCGAAGCAGGGAACCTTGATTTGCACCGATGTTGCTGCCAGAGGTTTAGATGTGAGTTCGATCCATGTTCAACTTGGCACCCTGAAGCTGTGCTAACCCATGGTGTCGCAGATCCCCGCTGTCGACTGGATCATCCAGTTTGACCCTCCGGATGACCCGCGTGACTACATTCACCGCGTTGGTCGTACGGCACGAGGCACAAATGGCAGGGGCCGCAGTTTGTTGTTCCTGCAGCCGTCAGAGGTCGGGTTCCTGAAGCATCTCAAAGATGCGCGCGTGCCGGTGGTCGAGTTTGAGTTTCCAGCGAAGAAAATCATCAACGTTCAGTCCCAGCTAGAGAAGCTGATCTCCCAGAATTACTATCTCAATAAGGTGGGTTTTCAAATTCGGTCATTATCTATTTTGTATTTCTTCATCCTGACTCGATGATCTGCAGTCCGCCAAGGAAGGCTACCGTTCCTACCTGCAAGCCTACGCCTCCCACTCCCTCCGTTCCGTCTTTGACGTGCACAAGCTCGATCTGGTCAAAGTGGCCAAGAGCTTTGGTTTCTCGACTCCGCCGCGGATCGACATCCAGCTCGGATCGAGTCTGAGCCGGGACAAGAAGCAAGAGAAGATGGGCCGGCGAGCATACGGCAGCCAGCCTAAGTCGAAGGGATTGAAGTTCAAGCGAAAGCGCGAGGACGACTAAACAGTTCTATAATAAGGGAGTGAGAGAGATGTCGGAGGATTAAGGACCAAAAAAAAAAGTTGCAAATAGCGTCGCCCTTTGTCGGGGCCGGTGTGTCTTGTTGATAAAGTCTTGCATTGCATTTCTGTACCATTCATTGGGAAATTGGAGTTTGTTGCCTTTCTTGTGCTGATTTCTCACTGTAGTCTAGTCGGCACCTATGTAGGAAGCATTTATTCAGACATGCTCTCTCTCCCTTGTACTTCACTATCTATCCTCGATACTATTGTTTCAATACAATCTCTCTCTCTCCTTTTTTTTAAGAAAAAAAATGAAAAATTCTTCAATGACTATTTGGGTCGTTGTCATTTGGAACGAATCTGAGCATGGCAGCCTACATGTGTGTATTGCGTAAATATATAATCTACATACTCTTTAGTGTTGTGGAATAATAGTTATATCATCTACTACAGAGTACAAGGCTAGTATTAACTATTTGCAGCCGCAAACACTGGCAGATAACTCTTATCGATAACTATTAATTAATATTATACTGCTAATCTTAGAATAATCAGTAAGTACCGAGTACTCCGTACTGCCTGCGGGGTTTGGTAAGGAAAGATCGTGATACTGTCCGAATAAGGTGGTTGGGCGTTGCAACGAAAAGAGGCTGGGCCACTGAGACGGGATATGTCATGTGGCTGACCAGCAGCAGCAGCACATGCTGATTGACTATTCTTGCCAGCAGCCAACGTTACCTCGTCGTAAACAGCCTTTTTCCATCGTGTCCTATCACAACTGGCGTCCCTGCCGCCAGAGCGATGTGATTCGATCGCAGGAGAGATGGTGTGCACTGATGAGTTGGCAAGCGTGGAAACATGCAAAAACTTAACTCTTAGAGGCTGGGTGGCTGGCCATGGCCCTGTCGTCGGGGCGACATCTCACATCTCGCCCGCCAGCTGCTTTGCTTTGCCATCGGTAGTTACTTCGAGTTGATCTTCTTCTATTTATTCTATCTTCCACAAAGCCACTTGAGTTCTATCTTTCGGAGGATGTGTCTACCAGCTGGTTTTATTGGAGGGGGATTACCCGGTCTGCGGAGGCTCTTTGCGAGAGTACGACTCGTAAGCTCGAGACCCATGCAAGTCATTATTATTCAAGTCACTCTCTCTGCCTTGTATGTACTGTGCTCCGTACTCCGTATCTGGCGTTGCAACCTGCGACAGGCTGGTTTATATCACGGTGACACCACGCCTGGTTAACGGCATCGTAGCAACGAAACGGGAACAAAAAAAATCACAAGGGCTATCCCCTGTTAGCTCCTCGACTACGGAGGAAATTAATCCATACTCGTTTACTTATTCTCTCTTTCTCAGTCCAAGTCTGAAACGAAAACAGATGCACAGCTCAAGGAACGATGAGTTGTAAAACAGTGTGAAACAGACTTGAAGGAGAGATTTTTCGTCCAATTCGACTTGCATCTGTACTGCGTCCAGATCAGGTAGTAATCCTCCGTTGTTGTACTGTACTCTTCTGGCACCGCGGATCACCGATCACCGCGAGCCCAGCCACTGGATTTCCTGGCCTGTCAGTGTGGCTCGCTGGTGTCTGGTTCCGGGTCCCGCGAGCGATCCGCCCCGAGCACTCTCCAGAGTCCAGAGTCCCCGCCAGCGAGGCCAACCAAGGCGATCGATTGCGGTTTGTCCAGCCTCTGCGTTTGTTGTCGCCGCTAAGGCTGCCCTGCGAGTTCGATCGCTTCTCCCTCTCTCCTCTGTCCCCTCGTCGTCTTTCCTCTCTGTTTCCTCCTCCTGGTGTTCATCGTTTGTCGCTTTCTTCCTTTCCTTTCTTCCTTTATTGCGGTCTCCTTGCTGGTTTGGCGTGCAGGGTGGTCGTGCTGCTTGTGGAGGATCTGGCGCCCTACCATATTGGCGGTTGCTTATCGGTGCTGGGCTACCCACAGGCCATCCAGGTAGGACTTCACCGTCCCGCAGCAAAGTCCACGCTGACTGATGTCGTTGTCTCTACTGTAGCAAAAGGGATCTGTCTGCGTGAAGATTGAAAATCGCAGTGATTCAGGGACTGTATTCCAGCGCTTGTCGACAGAACAGTGTGTCTGAAAGCACCACCTTCACTGCCGTCTCAATCACCTCACCGCATCAGAGGAAGCAGCCTCCCCACGCTGACTGACAACGCACGCACGCTCTCTACTTGCATTTATCTACACTTGATTAAAACCATTTCATCAGTCAGGTGCACTTCTGTCTTTCCACTGATTATGCGCTCTACTTGCTGAGAGCCCGTTCACAATGGGTGTTGATACCCGCCGTCCAGTGCTGCCCGCCCCCACAGACTCCGTGGTCGATACGGCCGGCAGTGCGACTGCAACCGATCTTGCAACTGATGTTTCTCGACGCACAGATAAAAGTTCCTACTCCATTCCAGACGACGGGAGTCCCATTACCATCTCGACGCGGCGACGGTCGCATAAGCATGAGGGCGACGACTCCAAGCTCTCTCGCTCGTCCCATCGGTCGCAGACCTCTCTCCTCATCGAGTATTTCGAAGGAGGCAAGGGTTCAGGAGGCCTGACTTCCAGACCTAGCGTCCGAGTAAAGGTCACCCCGTCTGCGGCCAGGAAGCTGCGAGATCAGAGCGACCATATCCAGATTAGTGAAACCAGCGGGAAAAAGGCCTTGTATACCCGCCGTATCTCCCTCGGCCCCCCGTCGAAGCAGAAACACGCGACAGATGGTGGCGACGACCAGAGTGTCAGCTCGGAGGAGCACGGCACCCAGCAGCGTCGTCCACCGCTAGAGATCGAGTTTGTCGATCGCGATCAGAACAGCGAACTGTCCAATGACCGGTACTTTCAGCCGGCGTCTGAGATCTCTTCCATGCCTCCGGATAGTATGCTGGAAGGGTCGCTGGCTTCTCCCGCCCCACGGCGCAAGCGAAGCCAGAGCCTGGATCAGGGGGAGCCTCCTGCGGAAGCGAGTGACCTGCTCAAAGCCCCTTCTCGCCGGCGAAGTCGTAGTCTCAGTCGAGAGAGGATCGCCTACAAGGTGGCCCAGAAGCTGAACAGCACCGCTGGTGATGTCTCCAGCAGCACCCGCAAGCGTTCAGAGAAGAGTCGAAGCCGGGGCGAAAGTAAGGAGCTCTTGGAAACGGACTCCAAGTCTCTCAGGAAGCGATCCCACCGACATCACGACGAAGAGCCCCCCAGTGTGGAGTCCAGCCTTCTGAGCGGCTCTGCGGTATCTTCTCGCCACAAGTCCGGTGATCAGTATTCCTTCCGCTCTTCCCGGTCATCGCTCAACAACCCGAAACTCCTCGAGACGGTCGAAGATGCAATCCGCCGACTCATCCTCCCGGAACTGAAAGAGCTCAAAAAGGACCAGAAAGTCAGCTCGAACAAGGCCAAGTTCGAACGTGACATCAGCGCATCTCAGGCCTCCGGGACCTCCAAGGATGAGCTGGGACGGCAGTTGTCGAAGCACTCCAGTGCTCCCGACATCGGTAAAAGCTCCTCTATGCTGCATAAAACCAGCAAGGACGAAGGGCTCGTGCAGTCGGAGGAGCGCCAGAAAGATCGCAAGGAACGAAGACGATCGAAAGAGAAAGGGACCACCTCTCCGTCAGAGGAGAAAATCTACGTGAGAAAGGGCTCGCTACCAGGGAATCGACCGGAATTAACCGAAGAGGAAAAATTGCGACGACAGAGAAGCAAGGGCCTCCGGGACGCGGAGGCTGCAGGAATCGTCGGCACAGCTCTTACTGCTGCAGCCCTCAAACACCATGATTCGAAGTCTACTCTCGACGACACCAGGGAACGTCGAAAGAGGAGAGCCAAGAGTCACACCAAAAGCGACAGCATCAATGATTCTGATACAGACTTGATCTTCCAGAAACACAATGTGCCGCCTATGCCGCTGCGCAGTGATATCGACACCGAGCTGACTCGCGAGTCTCTTCTTTCCCAGAGGACGGAGGAAACAGAGACGCCAACTCCTCGTCCAGTACGTGAAGTGGCTCGTGGTTCTTTGGGTGAAGTCGGGTCGCCTGCTTCGAGATCCCCCTCGCGTACCCCACCCGGACGTGATCGTGAAAAGAGTAGCTCACCTCATGCAGACGAGGAGTACGGAGGCGCCACGGGTGACATTGCTGCTGCAGCGGCCGCGAATCTTTTGGGCGGTCATCCACACCATGACGGTCCACGTGCCCTGAGTCCTATTCAGAGCGTCGCAAGCGACCATGACCAGCACGAGGCAGAACTCGACAAGCAGACTGACCAGTCTAATCGATACTCCATTGACTCTCTGTCTTCCGCACCCAGCACGGACCTAGCGAGATCCATCCGACAGAATCAGGAGAGTAGAAGTACGATCCTTAGACAACATGAATCCGGCACAGAGCTCGGCTACGAAGAAGAGTCGCGGAGAACCACCGAGTCGGAAGTTGAGGATGAAAGCGAGCATTCGGGAGAGGACGAGGCGTCTCACGACAGCGAACCAAGGATTGATGAGAAACACATGACCAACTATACTGATGACAGCCTCGATGCACCACCTTTCTTGGACAAAGGTAACAACACTGGGCGGCAGGTGTCTGAAGGAGTCGGGGCCAATCCCGAATTCGTCCATCCGCCCGTCGCGGTCGAGTCCGCGGTTGCCTCGCTGCTCGATCCCTCCGTCCTTGATGCAAACCCGACTCAGTCGCAGGCTGATTCCCTCAACCGATCCGCTCCTGGTAGTCCCCATCTCGGCGAAGCTCCAAGCCGAAGCTTACCAGAAAGTGGTCGAGGCAGCCCGCTCAAGCAACAACATGATGCCAACAGTCCTGACGAGAAATCTTTTACCAAGAGGATTGGTGCCACGTCTCCGCCTCAGAGTGTTACGCAGTCAGATGAAGAAAACGACGAACAGGGTGAACAATATCTCCCTGACACTCCTGGTGCGGAAGCAGAGGATCGCCATGCCCCTGAGGTTGAAGATGTTCCGGATTCCGAATCTGAGATCAATACGAATCCTTCGATTATCCAAGGCCCCATCGGCGGTATTCCTCACGAAAATCGAGACCACTGGCCGTTCAATCCGACACCGCCTCAACTGCAAGACATGAACTTACCTCCCCAACACGACAGCAGCGGTGTGGCCTACAACCAGCCTTACTCCCAGCCTCCTTACGGAAACGCATTTGCTGCAGATGCCTACGCAAGAGATAATTACATGGATGGACGTATCTTTTCTACCCCTCCGGGAGCGAAAGATGAGGGCTACATCTCCGCAGCTAATCCAATGTCCCCGAGCAACGCGACTCCGGAGCCCCGCAACAAAGGCTTCAGCACTCTGGACACTAACCCTCTTGTTCTTTTTGACAACCCCCCTCACGATGACGACCCGTTCGCGACGCCCGGGCAACAGCGGCACTTCAGCGGCTATTCCCATGGAATACCGTCTCCTCTGTATGATGGCGCCACGGGAAGAGGCATTGAGAGCATTCAATCCAAAGACATAATTGCTTTGATGGAGCATGTAAGTGAGAATGAAAAAATTTCGCCTTTGATGATTCAGATTCTGACTACTTGTCGAAACAGCTTACCGTCCGTGATGCGCAACGCAACGCCAGGGACACTGAGATTCTCGTGACCCTGGTGCGGAGTGCGGCCGAGATGCGCAACTCCTTTGAAGACATGAAGAGGTTCATTGCTCAACAGGATGAAATGCTCATGCAGGCGAACGACAAACAGCACGAGCGTACCCAACGAGTCATCGGTGGTCCGCGTCCACAACCTCCTTCCAAATCCTCTCGTCACGCGTCCACGGACGATTATGGGGAAGACGTGCAATCGAAGCGGAGAAATGTGTTCCGACGGGCGTTGAAGAGTTTGAGCCTGAAGTCCTCCAACGACCTGAGCAAGATCGAGTACATGCTCGAACAACTCCTTGATGAAGTCGAGGCGCTACGGGCGGCTCAGGAGGGGCGAAGCGTGGGAGCGGGAACTAAGCCAGGAAGCATCAACTCCAACGCTCAGACTGGAAACTCATACCAGGATGGCTACGAGCCTGAAGGCCAAGCAGGCACTTCTTCCACGGGCCAATCCGGGTACACTTCCAACTCGTCCCGGCCAATTCCCGAGAACCGTGGTCTGAGTGCGCAGAGAGGACCCGAGAATCGCGTCAGCACTGTCCCCGAGGGAGACGAAGAAGGCGAGACTTACGAGCACGAGCAACCGCTGCTGGAACGGGACGTCCCATACGACGACCGCTTGCCGCATCAAGAGGAACGGGGAGTTTCTGAACCTGCTGCGACTCCTCCGCGCGTCACGGGTGCTGTGAGCAACGAGACGACACCGAGGAAGTCCGAGGGAAAGTCCCGGAAGCATAAATCAAGCAGCTCGTCGTTCTTCCCCAAGATCTCGCGCTGGTCCAAGACGACTGCGTCCTCGGTGGGCGAGAATATCCGCAATACTATCCAGCCTGGGCGCAAAGAACGACCTCTGTCTGAGGGATCCCGCTCTGGTGTGGACCTTTTGCAGCAGGGCCCCTACAACACTGCGGACTACTATGACCCGAACGGGGATGATAGGCTTCGGTCCAGGTACACGCTGGATGAGCAGCAGCAGGAGCAGCAGGAGAACCGCCCACCATCTCCTCTTGTTCCTTCACAGGTGTCTGATGATCCCAAGTATCGAGCCCACCGGGACAGCTTGAACCTGCAGCATCCACAACCACGACAAGGACCCACGGACCGGTTTCAGTCTCGTCTGGAGTCGCAGGCCCAGAACTTTGTGAACCCGGTTTCTCCCAACTCGGACGCGTGGGGATCCAACTCGAGTCTCCCTCAGATGAGTGCGACAGGCAATCGATACGGCAGTGGCGGTCGTCTGACGCCCATCTCGGATGCCGGGTATTCGGAGACGGGCTCCCTGGTGGACCGGCAGAATGCTCCGCCCAGGCCTCCTAAGATCAAGGATGACGGTCCGCTGGTTCCTCAGCGACCCCCCAAGATCAAGGAAGGCGAACAGCCGAGCTACACGGAGCGGTTTGCTTCTCACCAGCCGCCTCAGCGCAGACCGACGGGGCCTCGTCCGATCACGAGTTCTGGGCGATACAGCCCTGCGAATATGAGGCGGCAGCGTTATCGAGGAAGTCCGACCCAGATTGACTATGGGGATGAGGAGTACTGAAGTGAACCGCATGCGCACTTCTCAACGGGACGAGACTGTATTAAGTCAACTTCCAAAAAAATAAAAAGAAAAAAATCTTTCCATTTCTTTCTAACTGTCAATAATGAGATGACATGATGGATGGATGGATGAACATTTGGCCTTTCCCCCCTTCTCTGTCTATTACGACGGTTTCCTGTAATCTTTTTTTTTTACCCTTGTCCATGTTGATTGATTGATTTGCACTCATGTCATGACATGACACATAGCTACTTCTCTGCACATGCACATGCACATGATTTTTTTTGAACTTCCTAGGGAACGAATGTTGGTCACGTTGGTACTTGAATGCAATGCAAAAAAGAAAAAAGAAAAAGCAATGCCGCTGTGTATTTAGCACTGATTCTCCCAGCTCCTGGATGATGGAAGAGCAGATACATATGATATGATACGAATGTTGTTACGTTATGCAGGAAGTATTATTAATTATTATCTACATATCTTAAGCTGTTGGACCGGCATCACATGATAATGAACATGGCTTCAGTTGAAGTATAATTCTGCATCATCATCATCATCATCAATTCTTTGCATGATTCCATTTATCAACTTGGATATTAATTATTAATATAATATTCTCGGTGGTTGGCAGCATTCAATTCCATCCCACTCATGATCTCTCTGCGCCCCGCAAAGCAAGCTCAAGACCAAACAAAAGTGGGGTGACATCAATCAACCTTAAACAGAGCTACCTAAGGTTACCTAGGTAGATAACTTAGTTCATTCGTCACTAATCACTCATCTCTTATTACTTCCTTGACTGATTAAAAAGAATAGAGAGAGATTAACGAACTAACGAGGTGATTTGCAGTGTTGCACAGCGCAGACAGTAATTGAACGGAGAGCTAATAAGTACATACACAAGTACTACATCCGATCCAGCGTCATCTTCAATACTGAATAGTGGAAGAGGAAAGAAAGAAAACATCATGTCCGCCTTGGATCTCCTGATTTGCTCCACGTGCGGCGTGCAGTATTCTGAAACCGATCGGGCCCTGCGAACCTCGTGTCCGGTCTGCGATGACCCCAGACAATACGTTGCTCCGACTGGGTAAGTGAATACTCCTAAATCCTGCCAATATTTAACAAATACATGGAATGTGTCTTGTCTGACTGAAAGCCAGCCAATCATGGACAACCCTCCGAATGATGCAAGAATCGAAAAAGTACCGCAACGAATTCGTCGTCATGGAGAACGACAAGAACCTGTCCCCTGACCGGACTCTCATCAGCATCTACACCGTCCCCCAGGTCGCCATCGGTCAGCGGGCCATCCTGTGCATCTCCCCCCGGGGCAACATCCTCTGGGACTGCATCACGTATCTGGACGACGACACGGTGCAGCGCATCCGGCAGCTGGGCGGCCTCAAGGCCATCGTCATCTCGCACCCGCACTACTACTCGACCTGTCTGCACTGGGCCGAGGCGTTTGACTGCAAGGTCTATCTCTCGGTCGAAGACAAGGAATGGGTCATGCGTCGCGGTCCGCGGCAAGTGTTGTGGGAGGGGTCTCGATTGGGGTTTCTTCCTAGCAGCAGCAGCGGCGACAGCAGTCCTGTAGTAGTAGTAGCAGACGATGCCAAGGGACAGGAAGATTGCGAGTTCCTAGCCGTCAAGGCCGGGGGCCATTTCCCGGGGAGTTCGGTGCTGTGGTGGAAACCGACGCGCAAGCTGCTGGTAGCAGATACCATCACCGTCGTGCCCAGTGGAGTGTATCACGTCAATCGACCGCCCAACACGGTGTCTTTTACGTTTATGTGGTCGTATCCGAATTTTGTAAGCTCACACACATACATACACACACACATTCTCTGGAAGTATCGATATGAACTAACCTCACGGTCTACACGTGAAGATCCCCCTCCCACCCGACGATATCCACCAGATATGGAAAGCCCTCAAGGATCTCGATTTCGACGACACGCACGCCGCCTTCCTCGGCAGAGATACCCGCGGCGACAGCAGGAAGCGGGTGCTCGACAGCGCCAAGATCATCGTCCGGGCGATGGGGTACGGCGATCATGCGATTCATCAGGAGGGGTTGTAATAGTAATAAGTGCGATATGTATGTCCTGTATCTAGCTGGCAGAGATACTCTGCTATTTGGCTGCTGGCATTTCGGATACTGTAATGAGGCTAGATTGGATGGAATAGGGTTCTTTGTATGCTTCTTTCTTTAAAGCCAAGAATGAAGACAACCAGACAGACAGTCAATCAATCAATGAAATCAGCTTTCTTTGTACTGCCCTTGAATCTTTTGGTCCACATAAAGATTACCTACAGTAGATTACCTACCTAGACTCAATTACATAGGTAACCTAACCTAACCTAACCTAACCTAACCTCCCTAGAGTCCCTACTCAGCATTTTGTCCGCCGAGAGGACCCACAATGCCAACACGAGGGTAGATTGTCCTCCAGTTGGGTCTCTGATCTAGGTAGGTAGGTAGGTAGCTTTCATTCATTCTGTCCGCCGAGGCTGTGTGTGGAGCTTACACGACGGGAGGTCTGCAGGATAGGTCTTGGAGTCTTTGTTTAATATTAACTGTAATGTTGGTGGTTTTCATTTTGTCCACCGAGACTAAGGGTGGAGTCTACACGACGTGAAACTTGCAAGGTCAGGTCTTCCAGCCTTTGTTAGCTACTGTAATATAGGTACCTAGTAGCTTTCATTTTGTCCGCCGAGACCTTTCGTCGAGCTATACAATGTGCAGCTTGCGAGGTCAGTTTTCCATCCAGTCTTTGATGAATCAGGTCTTTATCATGGCTACTTATCACTTTGTCTGCTGAGACCTTACATGCAGCTTACACAATGTACAGCTTGCAGGGTGGGATCTTCCAGTCTTTGATAATAATCTGGCCTTGGTCTTGACTCCAATAATAATACCTAGGTAGATATTGGCAATTCCTTCTTTGAGAGTCAATTAGATAACCTAGGTATCTATGTATGTACATTACATGCCCACTCATCATTTTGTCCGCCGAGGCTGTTATGGACCCTACATAACGGGAGATTTGCGAGGTCAGATTTTCTATCTAGTCTTTTAAGCCAAGTCTCTATTACCTAGGTGTACTTAAGGTATGGTCTTTATGCTACTTATTACTTTGTCCGCCACGATCTTATGTAGACCCTACACAACGTGCAGATTGTAAGGTTGGATCCTCCAGTCTATCTTTAATTCTTTATACCTACATAGTCTTTGATACTGACCCAAGTATGTAACCTTCATTTTACCTGCCGAGAACCTGCGTGGACCTTACACGACGTGCAGCTTGTGAGGTCAGCCTAGGGGTACCTTAGGTAATTTACCTTAGGTAAGTGCTCTGTAGCTCATTTTGTCCGCCGAGATCTCGTGTGGATCCTACACGACGTGCAGCTTGCAAGGTCAGTCGGCCTAGGCATCTTTCAGATTATGCAGCTCTCATTTTGTCCGAATTCATGCCGAGAATCTTATCTGCTTGGACTTGATGAGTTGATTACTCTTTGTCCGAATTCATGCCGAGAATCTTATCTGCTTGGACTTGATGAGTTGATTACTCTCTTTCTTTGTCTGAATTCTTTGTGTCAAGACCCGGCAGGCCCAGCTGGAGTCAAACTCTTGCTTTGTCTGATTCTACGCTGAGTATTCTTCAAACAGAATACAGATCCGTTTCTACGGTTGCTGACAAGTGGAAATTGCTAAAGCCCAATCTGATGCAAGTGAAGCAGTCTGAAAGCTACTTCGTTCATGACTATAACTGTACTATCTCCATCCATCAAACTCATTCAGTGTCATCGTTGTCAGCTGCCTGCCCTCCACTCTCGACAGACTCAAGCTGAAACATAGGCGCAGAAAGTGGTCTCGTGTGTCCTCTAACCACATGCTGCGCAACCGTGGCCAGTGAACTGTATTCAAGTTCATCACTGATGGGAAAATTCCCAGGGAAGCTTGAAATCGTTCCAGGAACACTTGGAAACTGGTCCATCCCAGCTAGGCTGGTAAGTCCGGACTGAACGTTGCTCGAGCTTCGGATCTTGTCATGCAAACTGTACGGTCTGGAAGAAAGTCCGCTGCTGAAGCTGAAGACTGGTCGTTTTGGGAGCAGGTCGGTATAGATACGCGCTGCTGCTGGAGCGACTCCTTTAAGACTAGAACTCGTGGACATCGGATGTCTGCAACCGACAGGACCGTTCGAAGTCGACGAGTAAATGGAGTCACTGACGGAATTATATGACATCCGCGACAGATAGCTAGGGACCGCAGGCAGCGTGATTGGCGCTCCGTCAAGATTGGCGGACATGTTGATCGCTCTGGGTGTAATCCCAGTGTGTGTCGGCAGAACGACCGCAGACTTGGTCAGACTCATATTTCCTGGATACCTGGGCCGACTTGCTTGCAAGTGATATCTCAGCCCTGTCCTCTCGATGATCTTCCTCGATGGCTCAGTCGACGGTTGGGAACTTGCAATGGGTGCTATCACGGCGTCAAGAGGCGCATCAAATGGCGAATGCTCCGAGGATCTGTCGGCTCGGGGAACACCTAGGGCATGCTCGTCGCCGCTTGAAAGCATGGATTTTCTTGGTTCATTCGCGTCCCACTCCATGAGGGAAGGGATGATCCTGAAAATCCGACGCTCCGTTCCATCAATCCACGATTCGAGCATTTTTGGCGGTGGAAGCCTGAGAATGCGCAGAGAAAACACCAGAGCACGGAGGATTTGGAGAAGGACCAGAGCCATGGTGAGAGAACACAGCTGCACAGTACTGGCCTGGATGCGGCCATGGTGAGATGCCAACACTGGCTGACGTGAGGATGAGAAGGCCATTTGCGAATGGATAGTGATGAGAGAGAAGGGAAATCAGGATGGCCTGACACATGCTGCGTTGGGACGAAAGAATCAGAATAGGAAGGAGCCAAAAAACTGACCAGTAGAGGCAGGAAGGTGCGTTCAAGCACTTCCCATTAGTAAAACGCCTGCGATGTTTTGGCAAAGGTCGTCTCCAAACCGGGCACCTAATGTTACATCCATATAATGAAATTCCTAAAGATCTCTTGATGTATCTCAGCAATAAAGTCGATTTGTCAATGAGACCCATAACATACTGACTGTTATGATTGACGGACACATGAATTTCTCCTCAGTCTTGTCCAAAGAAACGCAGTTGTAATCAGGATATAAGTATTTCCTACTCAAGCAACAGAATTCTACGCTTATAACCCCGTGTAAATCGACTATAGGGCTGTTGGTATCGATCCAGTGTATGCAGATCGGCTTACCCAAACGGGAAAAGCTGGCGCCATTCCCGATCCCGATCGTCGATCAGCCTGTCAATCCATATGAACTCCCCTCATCAAGTCCTAACAAGTGAACAAAAACTTCACAACTATACTCAAATCCACATAGATCATCCCCACCCCGGGTCTTACACTTCAAACACCGCAACAACCCTGGCCATCCCCTGATTGATGGCCATTCTCGCCCGCCGGTTATTATCGCCTAGCCGATCGTCTCAGCAGCCTCTCTTTCTAGCATTACTACTAGCAGGTCGAAGAGATATGGCGTCTGTCGCTGCCACCTCGCCTCCACGTCCGCGCAGATTTGCGCCGCTGAGACAGGAGCCCGGCACACAGTCAGATGCCCCGTCCTTGCAGGGGATTGTCTTTGATGTCGATGGCACGCTTTGGTATGTATCTGAGCCTGACCTGATGTCTCTGGGTTCGAAAATGTCAATTTAAATGTTCTTCTCCAATGATTTTATATTATATCTCTTGTATCCTTGTCAACTGTATGCTCGTTTTCTGGACAAATCTTTCGATTCTGAGGCCTATAAGGGCTCTATCAATTCAATTCTCCTAGGAGACGCGTCTATTTTATTTCTTTTCTTAGTATCTATCTCGACGAATTGCAACTTTATACCTTCAATTTCCTTAACCTCAGAAATGACTAGATGTACTGACATGAACAGCCTTCCGCAACACTACATGTTCAGTCAAATGCGGTACGATACAAACTCCCATCTCCATCGAAACACCACCAACCCAAAATTAACAATGGCCGTCGTATGTCGTTATTATTAGCGCCGCATTAGGAATCGACCGATCGGTCGACATCCTCGACCACATCCGAAGCCTGCCAACCGAGACAGAGCGCACCGAGGCCGTCGCCAAAATACAGGCCATCGAGCGGGAGGCGATGCTGCAACAGCAGCCCCAGCCCGGTCTCGTCCAGCTGATGGACTATCTCGAAGAACGCGGCATGCGAAGGGCGCTGTGTACGCGGAATTTTGAGTATCCTACCCTCTCCAGCACAACAGATCTTTCGCTGTTTTATTTTATTTTTACTGACGCCGCGAACCTCTAGAGCACCTGTTACCCACCTCCTCCAGAACCACCTCCCCAAACACGTCTTCGAGCCCATCATCACCCGCGACACTCCCGATCTCCTCCCCAAGCCCGACCCAGCTGGGATTCTGCACATTGCGCGGCAATGGGGTCTCGACAACCGTGCCGAGAGCATGATTATGGTAGGGAACATTTACCTCAATTCTTCCTTGGTAATTTGCACTCCCTACTTACACAAGGCTTTTTTGTTTGTATGTACAGGTCGGCGACAGCATCGACGACATGACAGCCGGTCACGCCGCTGGCGCTGCTACCGTGTTGCTCCTCAACGACCGCAATGCCTATCTCAAGGAGCACCCGCATACGGATCTCTGCATTAATCGACTTGACGATCTGATTGAGATTCTGGACCGGGGGTTTGTGGGACAGAATCATGATCACAGCCATGAGTGAATGAGCCAAACAAGCATGCGAGCAAGCAACTACCGTTGTAATATATACCTATTGCCAGCTGAAATAGATCTAAACTGGGGTATCATACTGCTGCCGTCTTTTCTTTTTCTTTTTCGTCGTCGTTCAGTCTACATTCAGTCGTCCAGTCGTCATTACCCTCAGAAGAATCGTACCTAAACCTTAGGGGAAAAAAAAACCAAGCAAGACACAGTGTCATACGCAAAATAACCTCCCATTCCAAACAGATGACGCAGACCGGCATCAGACATCAGATGCCAGAGTGAGCGAAGACTGACAAACGCCATAGAATATGCATTTACAGTGTAAAGATAGCGGAGGTAGAGGGAAGCGAGAGTGCCGAACACTCTTTTCTTTTTCAGAGTCGGAACTTATCCCACGCTTTTTTACCCGCGCTGGGCATCGGTCGATACGGTTCTTGTTTGCCCCCGCGTCCACCGCGGTTGCGGTTGTCGTTGCCGTTGCCGCCACCACCTCCTCGTCCGCGACGTGGAGGATGCGATCTTCGGCTCGCACCAGGGGACAAGGAGCGTTGTTGACGGTTGTGGGAGGGACCATCCTGTCGATCCCGGTAGGATTGTCTGCCGCCCGAGTTGTTCTGGGGAGGCGGTTGTCCTCCTGAGAGGTTTCGATTCTTCCCGATCCCGCTTCCAAAGCGGATGTTGGGACGGCCAGAATTTCGATTGTTGTTGATCGGCTCTCGACGACCGAGCATGTCGTCGTCGCTGCTGTCCGGAGTCGGCGAACGTGGACCAGCACGCCCCCGGATCCTCATCCCACCTTTGTTATTCCCGTTCATGGCCGTTTTACCACCTGCTTGCTGGCGCCCCAGTACGTCGTTCAGATTTGTGATCATGGCTGGATCATAGCCTTTCAAGGTCCACGAAGAGGACCTAGTGGGGCCCGGCAGCGATGGACAGTCGCCCATGAGATGGCGGTTGCTGGTACAGTAGCTACAGGAGATGGATACAACAATCGGACCTGGGTAGGGAGGGTGCCTGGGGAACTTCCACATTCTGTCACACTCAGTTTCCAAATGGGTGTCTGCCCCGCAATAGTCGCAGGGGACTTCTGCAGCAGAACCCTTGAGAGCCGAGCCACAGCTGTCGGCATCGTGGCCTCGTTCTCGACACTTTTGGCACCGTCTCCAGGAGGGACAGAAATTACTTTCGTGGAGATCCCACGCTCCACAGTGTTCGCACTGCTTAACATTAGCCACCTATGCGCATACGTGCAAGAAAAAAAAGAGGAAAGAACATACCTCTTTTGTGGGGCACACAATGGCGAGATGGCCCTCCTGCAGACATTCCGTGCAAGCAATGGGCTGCGAGAGATCGATGTCATGGATGCTACGATTGTAGAAGAAATGCCGAGCCTGGATTTCCAGGTCCTTGCGGTTCAGATCGGCAAGGATAGATGGAGGTGTGCTGTATTTCTCAGAAAGGACGCGAAACGCATCCTCTTTTGATCGAATGACGCTATGGTCGCCTGCTGATCCATTGGCCGATACAAAGCCGGGGTCTGGTTGGGTATCGATTCGAAAAGGGTCTGCTCCAGCTGGTGGCGTGTCGTCCCCAGCCTTGTCAACGCCAGCTTCGTCGTTCCCAGGCCCCAGGTTGAGCATGATAGAGTCGCCACCTTCCGAAACTTCTCCAGTTTCGGACCCTTCAGAGTCATCGATAAAGTATGGTCTTTGGACCGCTTTCACACGGTCGCCATCTGTGCGTCCGTCCTCAGAGGGATCACGTTTAGCTTCTGTATGACCGTGGGAATCCTCGCTTGAAACCGAGGCGCTGCGACTTCGCCAGTACTTTCCATTGACCGATTCAAATGCGGTTGTCGTAGCATTCCCGTCGGGCCGGGACGTTTTCCCAGTGAGAGACGTGCGGATGGTACTGCGGCTTCCTTTGTTCCAGTTGATTGCTACCGGAACGCTGCCCAGCGGTTTCTGACCTTCCGACGGCTGCTCCTGTTCCTCTTCTGACTCGTCGCTGCTTGATGAGCTCGACCCGGAGGAGGAAGTACTAGTACTGTCGGCACTGTCCGGATCGACATCCAGGGCAGCGGCACTGAACGTGCCCCCCTGGGGGACAAAATCACGGAAATCGCTGCGGCCAACCCTCCCCTTTCCGCGCGCTTGTTTCTTCCCTATCTTTCGGTCTCTGGAGCTTTGTCGCGAGGCGCCGTTGGAGCCATTCGAGTGGGGACGCTGCAATCCGACGGAGGCGGTGCGAGAATCATTCTCATCGCCAGAGGCGTCACGCATGCCGTTGAGATGGTTGGAAAAGAATGAAGCTTTCACGGTGACGAAATTTGAGGCGACGACAACGCTGTCATCGAATCTTTTTTTTTTCTTGGTACAGTTCTTAGCTCGCGGATTCCGCTCTGGAGCTCCGCGAGAAAAGCGTTACGGCGGCCGCCACAGGCCAGAAGCACCCTTTTCCGCCTCGGCCAATGAGACGGCTCCAGCAGCGAGGCCCAGGTCACGCCCTGGCGAGACGATGGTTGCGCAGCATCAGCTAGTTCATAGTTGGATCTGTAGCTAGCTCGCTGCATCCCTAACTTACGTGTTCTCGAAGCCCTCCGAGACAGCCCTCGACCCAGACCCAGACCGGGCCCAGCCAGGCCCAGCCGATTAATTATTATATCGCTCGTTGATCTCGTCGGCCGGAGGGAGTGGTGAGCACGTGCAGCGTTGCTCTCTGGCCTTCCCGCTTCCGCCAGCAAGCCCGCAGCCTCAGGCAAGCTGACCACCAATTATTAGCCCTTTGTTTGCTCCTGCGCAGCTCCCCATCTTCCATCCCCAGACTCCAGCCAGATCCCTGGCCAGCCCTCGACGCTCTTCTCATTCCCTTTGTTGCCTTGTCTTACTAGCCACTGCTTCTTTCTTGTCTGAATTCCGATCTCCCCCTGCTGCCGTCCGCAGGCAGAAACCGTGCCCTTCCAACCGATTCCCGACTCCCCCTCGATCTGCCCCCTCCGCCAGCTGCCCAGGCCTTCCTTTGGCTGCAGTCGATTCCGAGTGAAAGGCGTCCGTCGTCTTCTCCTTCGTGTCCCATCTTCTGTCCTACTCTAGCACGTATCCGTCCAACACCGCCAAGCTGTCGTCCCTTCTCATTCCCCGGACCATCTCCTTCCCGCCGGAGGTCGACGGACCACGTCGGTCGTCACCGGATTCCAGGATGCCTCAAACAAAGTCAGGAAGGCGAAGGAGATCGAGCAGCCTCATCTACCAGGAGCCCCCCGAGTCCATCGAGCAATCCAGTGACCAGGCCGCCCTGCCGAACCTGAACGCCAACTGGGTCAATGCCAAGGGTGAGTGAGCAGGTTGCTTTTCGCCAGGAATCTGGCCGAGGCTGACAGTTAGACAGGTGCCTGGACCATCCATTTCGTCCTGATTGCTGCCTTGAAGATCTTCTATGACATCATCCCGGGGGTCTCGCAGGAGACGTCGTGGACGCTCACCAACATCACCTACATGTTCGTCACCTTCATTATGTTCCACTGGGTGCGAGGAATCCCGTTCGAGTTCAATGCCGGTGCCTACGACAATCTCAACATGTGGGAGCAAATCGACAACGGGGATCAGTACACGCCGGCCAAGAAGTTCCTGCTCAGTGTACCAATCCTTCTATTTCTCCTGAGCACTCATTATACACACTATGACCTGACCTATTTCCTCATCAACTTTCTTGCAACATTGGGTGTCGTCATCCCGAAACTGCCGATGGTGAGTGCTGTCTCCTGGTGATCTGTATGATGGATGCGTCCTGCTAACCTGAGCCAGTCTCATCGGTTGCGGATAGGCTTGTTCTCGGATATCCCAGACGACTCCTAGCGTTTCTTCTCTCATGCGACACCCTCCCCATTGGTTCGATCTTTCAACTATATACCACTCCTTTCTGAATCTTAGCCGCATGGACCGACTGTGAGGTTAAACAGAGGCCATCGCCGCGGGTGCTCTGCTATTCCAAAATTCTCCTTGGGTGTCTTCATTCTGTTAGATAGGATACAATTAATTTGCAGTTTGTGTGGCGTTACCCAGGCAAAAAAAATAACACAAAAAATAGAAATCAGGCATCTTCCCGCTGTTCTCTTCTTCTCTCTGTTCCAGGTTCAGTCAGCCATCTTTTCTCTCTACTTTGTTCTTCTAATTTTTGGGTTCAATTGTCATTGCGTTAGCCTTCTTTGAATGCATCCCGCGGGGAACAGCAACAAGGAGCGCTTTGGCTTTGAGCAAGGCGTATGGAGGTGAAATTTTGGGAGTTGAAAAGGAGATGGTCAAGTTGGGTCGGTCAATCGGTCGTTTTTTTTTTCGGAGAGTCGCGTTGCGTTTTCTCATTATCATTTTTATTACTTTATTATCCTTTTTGCAAGAAGCAAAGCAATCCTTTGATGAGACAGGCTGCTTCTCTGTTTTATATCCTTTTCTATTCTCTTTCCAATACCTGTTTTTTTATGGACACTGTTTATTATCATTATTATTGTTGTTGAGCAGAGAGAATTGGCCAGCAGTCACAATGACAGATTTCATCTCACTTCATAAAATACACAGGCTTATGCCAGTTAATAGGAGTAGTCTTGGCGATGATGCTGTGAGGGTGGTGAACACTTCTGTCGAATCAAGGCCTTGGTCAGCTGGCTTCTCGTATTTACCTAATTGATTATTAAATTCCTGATGTGTCTCCTCATCTCATCTTCGGGGGACTTTGATCCGTGGAGACTTAGTTAACCTGCCTGAATTTCTCGCATTACTTGTCTTTGGCACTGAGACTGGGATAATCACGTGCCACCACGTGGAGATTGGACTGGTCCGTGCTTCCGGTCCTCCGCTCCGCTGTCACGTGGAAATGGATGTCCGTCCGCGTCAATTAATTAAATTTGCTTTCAGAGATGAAATGAAAAGTGGAAACCTCAGTGAATAGGTAGGTAAGGTTTATTTTTTTTTTTAAAAAAAAAATTTCCTGCGTACTCCGTACTCAATTTCTAAGTTGGAAGGAACAATAATAATTACCCTTTTTGGAGCATCGCGACCCACTGGCGCGCGGCTTCTCTTATCGATAAGGAGAGCGTCGCGACTCGGAAAACGCGCTCTAATACTCCCGTAATAATACGGGGTTAAAGGAGCAAACGACTTAAATAAATACCCCAATCTAGCATCATGAGTGCAGCTCGTTCTCGTTCTCCGACCATGGCCATGGCCAGCGACGATGAGGAGTCTCGATATAACTACCGTCTTGCAAAGCCGCTTCCTTTTGAACTGCGCCAGCATTGCGGGATATATTTTGAGGAGAAGCTTTGTCCGTTGCCATCCCAAAACATCATGCTTACTATTAACAAGGAGAGAAAGACCGCTAACCCACTGCTTGTCGCACAGATTCCCAGGCCCTAAGTCTTTTGTTGAATATCCTGACCTGCGGAACGGTCGCCTCAAGCCCGGCTTTTGTGCCCTCGCCTCAGCATCTGGCCCTCGCGGCCACGCTTCTTGTTCATCCGTCCACTACCACGCGGGCCAAGACGACAGAAGAGCAAGAGGCTGCGAATGCAGCGCTACAGCTCCTGCGCTTGACAAATACTCTGGTTGGACCAGTAGCGGCGAAATTCGATGTCGCTTTCACGTTCACCCACTTTGATTCGTCGCGCCATGGAGGCCGTCGCCGTGCTGACGATAGTGGAACGGCTAGCGGCGTCCGAGACGACGAAAATGCCCCCCTAAATCTTGACCTGGGGCAGTCAGGCTCTCTGTGGTCTCGGGCGGAAGACTTTTGGCACGCTGTGGGGTGGGCGTTCAACTGCTCGGTTTTGCACCCGAACCGTTGGGAGAGATGGCAGCTTTGGCTCGAATTCATGTGCGAGGCACTGGAAGATGATTGGAGCGAGCGCAAAAGGCAGCTCGAGGATCTGGGGGAGAGCTCACAGCCTGGTACTCCCAGCAAGCGACGTGAAGCGATCCTCAAGCAGAGCTTGATATTCAAATTCTTGACTAGCAACACGACCTACGGACGGAATCGCAGGATCCTACGAGCCATATTTGCCAACGGAAGCCCGACGTCCGTCAATGAGTTTCGCGAGGTGTTCAAAAACGAGTTGAAAGAGCTTAAACGCGAGGAAGATGGGAAGCTCAAGAAGAGGGAAGTGGATGTGAATATTGATGAAGGCCAATACGGCGATTACATGTCCCTGGACGAGGAGGAATCCGACGAAGTGGAGATGACGAGGACTCGTCCGAAACGAGCGAGAAGAGGAGCCAAACGGGGTGAGTCTGCTGCGCGGACAGCGGAGAACGATTCATATGAGCTTCCTGACAGTATCTATGCGGACGGAGGCGTAGCGTCTCTCGGAGGCTTCAAGTCTCTTGCCCTGCGTCAGCGTCTTCTCCACCTTCTGTCAGAAGTATCCCAATATCTTCCAGATGCCTTCATTCGGCTCGAGGAATTGTATCATTTATTTGTAGAGAACATTCGCCATCTACCACTGCCCATCTTCCAGGCCTTTGTGGCCCCATCTGCCCTTTCCTATTTCACGGCCGCCGAACAGAGCTCCCTGTGCGAAATTCTTCTGTACCGCATGCGCGAAAGCGCCGCCCCAGAATCCGACGAAGCATATCTGAGCCAGAAGAAGCTTGAAGAGTGTTTCTTACCGTACGCCGCGAACACCGCAAGCGTGGTCGACAACGCCAAGGTGTCCATCCTCCTCGAATCCTTACTGCGGCTCTTGGCCGAGGATAATCTGCTTCGCAACACGCCCGAGCTGAGACAGGCCGTGACGGAGGGGATCCTGGCTCGGAACGAAAAGGCTCAGGTCGAAGTGCGACGGAGTCAGAACAGCCGGCGGATGGAGGACATTGAGTGGTGCTGGCTCATCGAAAGCGGCGAACGGCTGCTGTTTCTGGTTGAGGATATTCTTCCTCAGGAGCAAGACTCGGCGCCGCAAAGCTGAGTTGAGAGAGAACGAACGCCATAAATTAGGAACGTCGCCAGTGGAGTATTCATGACACGACAGACGCTGTCATCCAAGCACCAGACAGACAGATCAAGTCGGTGTATACGCCAGATGTCAGGCTCTGATCCTCACCGCCTCGATCCGGGCCGCTGCCTCGGACAGGAGCAAGGAACATCTATCTACGTTCGAGAACTTCCGGACGGGGTATGAAGATGGTTCTTACATGCTTCTGGTTTCCTGACCAGACCAGACCCATGACACCGGGAACGATCGATCCAAGCGTATGTCGAAGTAGGCACGTCGTCTTCTTCAGAAACAGAAGCAGAAACGGCAAGCAGGGCGCGAACAAGAACAGCGAACCCGCGGGGTTGTTCGCTATAAATAAGTATTCTAGTCTGTCTGCATTGAGAAATGACGCAGATTAAGTTAAAGACTTGATTGGCGATTTTCATCACCAAGGAGATTAGTATTATTACCTAGGCTATCTAGAAGAATTCTAAATATACGCCTCTTTTTTACGCCTCATTTTTTATGATGCCCTTATTTTATTATTCTCGGATCAACCTTTCTCTCTTCTGCCTCTGCATCACAACTGATTGCACTTTGCCTTCGGCTTAATAACAATAACCATGACAATATACAACACAACACAACAAGCTATGATACATCTACTGTACTGTACATTACATTTCACTGTATTACTTAGGTAGGTAGGTAGGTATGACATGCACTGAACCTAGGTAATGTACTGTACTTACAGCAAAAAAAAACAAAAGAAAATTAAAAAAGGGTAAAAAAAAAAGAAACATGGACGATATGGGTAATAGTTGGGGTAAAGTCTAGCGATGAGGATATTAAAAAAATGGAAGCAAGGAAGACATGGAGAAAGAAACAAAAAAAGAAGGATTCGAAATATGTTATGTAGATAGATAGATAGCCAGGAAAGGAAAGGGATGAGAGGAATGAAACAAAGAGACAAACAGAGAGACGGATAGATGGGTTTTTGTTCTTGTTCCTGTTCCTGTTCCTGTTCCTGTTCGACTTTAGACAAGAAAATAAGTAAAGTAAATAAATATATCACAGTGATGACGATGATGATGATAGAATGGATAATATGGTATGGTATAACTTGAGAATGGATTTGCTGAAGCATTTCCTTCTCTCTCTTTCTCTCTTCTTCCTCACACGCCCTCACCTTCTATATTCCTTCCTCTTTTTTTTTTCTGGCTTCCCACTCAGTGTTTCTCCTCCAGATTATAGGGTATAGGTTTATGGCGGAGGCCTCGGACCGATAATCTGTCGTCTTGCGCCTCCCACGCCCAGCCCGGGTCCTCCCCGGTTCTGGTTGTCGCCGCCGAGATAGCCGTACTGATGGACGTCCCAGGCGCCCTCGCCGGGTCCCGTGCCTATGTTCTCCTTCAGGCCCTTTCGCGCGGCCTCCTGCAGCTGCTTCTGGTTCTCCTCCCACTCGCGCTGGCGTTCCCGTTCGCGCTCCATCTCCCGCTCCAGGAGCGTCTTGGACGCCCAGCCGCCGGCGCGCGTCTTCTGCGTCGACTCTACGCGGCGCGCGTTCTCCGCGTCGATTTCGGCCGTGGACGAGTAGTCTTCTGGCCGGTGGGTCGTCGGTTTTTCCTCGACGGGGGGCGGGTTGGATGCGAGGAAACGGTCGGTCCGGTTTTCTCGAGCCTTGTTCTGCTGGGCGTAAGCGGTCGGATCAGGGAGCGGCCGTGAGGACGTCGTCGTGGGCTCTGGTAACGGACGAGGAGGCGGTGGAGGTGGCGTATCAGTTGTGTCTGTCTGTGCTGCTTCGGTATTCTGCTTCTCCCATTCACTTCGGAGGAGCTTGCGTTCCTCTTCTTGAGAAGATAGATCGTAGCTGGGCTGCACGGGACGGGAACGACTACTACTTCGCGAGCGGGACTTTGCTTTCGCCTCAAGCTCTTTACGTTCGCGCTCATACTGGCGTTCTCGCTCCTTGGCCAGCTCGAGCTCCCGTTCCAGCTCCCTGATGCGTTGCGCTTCCGCCGATTGCTTTTCCGCTTTCAGGCTCGCCTGATACTGGCTGAGGAATTGCCCGTTCAGCCGGGCATCGCTGGTCGCTCGCTTGCGCTGTCGTTCCCTTTCGAGCTGTCGTTCCCTCTCGAGCCTCTCCTCGGCCTCTTTCTCCTCCTTCAGACGGCGCTGTTCTTCTTCCTCCCACCTCCGTTGTTCTTCATCCCACCGTCTCTTCTCCTCCTCCATTTCCCGACGCTCTTTCTCTCTTAACCGTTCTGTTTCTTCTGCCCAGCGGCGCTCTTCCTCCGCCCTGGCGCGTTCCTCCTCCTCTTCCCTCTCCTTCTGCTTCCTCGCTTCTTCCTCCTTGCGTTGTCGTTCCTTTTCGGCTTCGGCCTCACGACGACGTCTTTCCTTCTCTGCCAGACTGGGCACGGATGGTTGGGGAGTCGTGATCTGTCGCCGTGCACCAAAGGTGATTCCCTGATTACCCTGGCTTGCACCGCCCATATATCCGTATTGGTGTATGTTCCACGCCGGTACCGTGGTCTCTTCGTCGGATTTCTTGCTCCAGCTGCTCACGGCGACCGATCCAGGTGAACGTTGGGATGATCCAGTCCTTGCAGGGCTTGCTCGTCCAGACGGGCTGACGGCCGGATTAAGAGTAGTCGAGCTCGTTTCACTGCCCGTTCCCTGCGGACTCAGAACCCCACCTTTGCTTTTGATACCCCCTATAGAGCGAGGGAACTTGCTGGGCTGGATGGCGTTGGCTCTTCTACTGAAGGCGCCCAGACACTGTAGGACCTGCGCTGGATCCTTCGCCTCGTAGAGATCAACCGTAAGAAAGACGTCGTGTGGAGGGAGGCTCAACGGGGGCATCTGAATGGCGCGAAGGAAATGCGAGATATTCTCCATCTGCACGAAGGGCATGGACGACTGCTTGTACTTGACGCCCGGGGAAACGACAAGATTGACCAGCCTGAGAACGTCAGCAACCCTCCAATGGTGACTTTTTTTTTCGGTTGTCTTCATACTTGCAAAGAGCCACTCCATCTTTCAGCGCATTGATAAGATCGCCAGGAGGAAGCTTCTCGTGGAGGATTTCCTCGATCCATTCGCGCACTTCGTTTGCTGCCTGCGGGGTGTACTTGGACAGGCGCATATCGCGCAAGTCCCTATCCAGCGACGTGACGGATGCCATTTTTTCTTTCCTTCAGCTCGTCTCTTCCGGGAACGCTGTGTATCGAAGGGATTGAAACTGGAATGGACGGCTGCCTGTGGTGGCCTCGTTTGGGTGCTTAGGCATCAGCGCGAGCGGCGACCGCGGGGACACTGCGGCGACTCGGTCGCGACAGCGAGTAATTGGCGGATTCTTCTTGCACAGCCAGGAACGAGAAGACGCCGTATATCTATCTATCCGAGTAAACCGATCGAAACGAATGGAAGCATGCTTGCAGAGGAAAGAAAGGGGTTCGTGTAGGAATGTCAATCAATAATCCAGCGGAGGCCCGCAGTCCAGCCGCCGATGACGTCCGAACTAAATTAAGAATTAAATAGTTGCGTCCGGCTTCCACGCCAGCGCCGATCCGTTTCTGCACGCCAACACCAGCGATCAAAGCCACCACGCCCCATTCCTTCCAGCTGGGCACGATGAGTCCGGTGAACAGCCTGTGGTTTAAGTGGAAGAGCCTGCGACTGCCCTGGCGAAGATCCTTCTTGGTTGGTATGTATTCTGACCGAGGCTCTGGGCAGACGCCGGCTAAGGGTCGTCATCATAGGGGTCGATCTGCTGGGGAACACATACTGGGAGTTTAAAGATTCGCTGAACAGCAACCGGCTGCGGCGCATCGTGAAATACAACCGCAAGGTCCACTATGCAGACGTGAAGATTTCCCGTACGAAGGCCTTTCCCCCCTTCTCTGAACCTACGTCAATAGCTGACTTGCTACAGCCCAGTGGCACCAGTGGCTTCGCTATGTGCGCCAGGACCCTCCCAGCCTCGAGGAACAGCAGCAAGACGTGGTTCGGCAGATGCAGATCAAGAAACTCGCGCAGATTGCGGACGAACGCTGGGCCAGCAAGCCTTCATACCTTGACCGTCCTCAAACGCAGCAGCCGGGACCTGCGACTCGAACGAGCGATGCAACATTGCATCCAGAGAAAGGTGCTGCTCCTGACAGGCAGCCTGGCGTAATGAACGCCATCCAGAGCCAGGCGGAGGCCCAGGAACAAGAGAAGAAACCCGACACGAAGCCATGGGCCAGAAAGATGGGAGGTCCGAGTGAGAACTGGCAGCCGGAAGCCTGGACACCTACCGCTGCCAAGAGGTAGGCGGATGGCAGATAACCGGGCTCTTCGAACGTCGCGTTGTGACATCACAAACATCAGCGAATATATCCACATATATCCACATGTGGATAATATTACGATACACAGAAGCCACGCGTCAAAGTCCAGCGCCGCAATGACAGTGACGATGACCGCGATGGTCGAATTGCGAGTTGGATACCAGACAGACTCTTCATAAGAGAAGTTCATATAGAGGCGGCAGCTTCTCACCGATCTCTTCCAACGGCCAAAGCGACAGCAGCCGATGTATTTTACTGTATATTAGAAGTTTGATAGGAGACTGTACAGGTATGTGTCCTCGTTCTGGTGACCACTAATTTGAATCATACTGTACGATAGATGCGAGCCAGCCTGTTGCCTATAAACGTGACTAGCAGTATATTTCAGTCAACTGTGCAGAAAGAAAGAAATAGACTACTCGTTCATTTCGGTTCTTCCTATACTTTCCTCAAGATCAATAAATCACTCAGCAGTACTCTCTCGTATACGGAGTATACTAGTCCGCACCCAAGTAAATAACGACTATCAATCACAAGACAATAGTTAATCAAGTCAATTAATAATAACCACCCGTCAGTCAATAGCCCTAAGCCATCAATAATAATATTAAATAACAACAATCAATCAATCTTTGATCGAAAAGGCAGGTGCTGCGTGGTCCATGTCGCTGTCCAGTCCGTCGATAAGAAAGTTGCGCAATCAACGGCGCAAATCAACTCATCGATCATCCCACTACTCCATATCACTCAGCAATAACAACGATCGTGCTTTCTCTCAATCAATCAATCAACTATCGTTTATTATTGAGCGGATAAGACGGCAAGTGTTCTTCTTGGCTCTCTATCTCTCCACACCGGAGCCAGATTTGACAATCACGGCATTGTCCTGTCATCTATACTATACCCTATAGGTAGGATCTACTGCTCTGTCTGCTCCAATAGGGGATTTTACTGGTTTATCCACATGTATGTACTTACTAGATTAACTTACGCAGCGCGGGGTAGTTATGTGCAGGAACTGGTTGCCCCTCTATCTCGGACGGACGAATTGGGTTGGAGTTCTGGTTCCTAGTTCCAATCTGATATCGTCATCGGAGGAGGAATTGGCGAGTGAATCGAGAGGGAGAGGCTATTGCTGTGTCTATAAAGTGGGTGTGATTTCCTCTTCATTCGTGTTCTGCTGATGATATAGCACATCAGTATTACTACATTTTCCCGAGTGATATTTCCTGATATCGACCTTTCCTCCTCCTTATCAAATCTATCGAGGTTATATAACATCATTTTCCTACCATGGCACCGTCAGTCCTCGAGACAGAGCCGAATGTCGCCGGCCAGCCGGTTGAAGGACAAACCGAAGCCGTCAAGGCAGCTGCTACGCCAAGGCTCCTGAGGGAACCCCTCCAGCTGAAAGGGGTGCTGGATCAGTACGAGCACTTTGACGTCACGCCCATCATTGGCACGGAATTTCCCACGGCCAACCTAAAGGAATGGCTGCGTGCGCCCAACTCGGACGAGCTCCTCCGGGACCTGGCCATCACGGGTAAGCAACGGCCACTTGGATAACAATCTACTGTTTAAGACAAAGCTCACTCACAGACGAATAGTCTCCCAGCGAGGCGTCGTCTTCTTCCGCCGCCAGGACGACCTGGACAACAACCTGCAGAAAGAACTGGCCGACCGGCTGGGCAAGCTGGCCGGCAAGCCGAGCACGTCAGGCCTGCACATCCACCCGGTCAGCAACTCTGCGCGCGAGTACGGCGACAAGGACGACGAGATCAGCGTCATCAGCTCAGAGGGGGCCAAGAAGCTGTACAAGAAGCCGCTGTACCAGACCAAGCAGAGCTCCAAGGAGGGCTGGCACAGCGACATCACCTTTGAGCCGGTGCCCAGTGACTATGCCATTCTGCGGTTGACGCAGCTGCCCAAGACTGGAGGAGGTAAAATCGCCTACCATCAATCCTATTTATACCTTGTTTGTTATTGGCAAGAAACTGATAGTGAGATCACCTCATGCAGATACCCTCTGGGCCTCCGGCTACGAAGTCTACGACCGCATCTCCAAGCCCTACCAGAAATTCCTCGAAGGGCTGACCGCCACCTTCGCGCAGCCAGCCTTCAACCAGAGCGCCAAGGAGAACGAGTTCCAGCTGTACACGGCACCCCGGGGCGCGCCCGAGAACGTCGGCGACGAGCTGACGGCCGTGCACCCGGTGGTGCGCACCAACCCGGTGACGGGCTGGAAGAGCATCTTCGCCGTGGGCCACCACGCGCAGCGCATCAACGGCCTGACGGAAGAGGAGAGCGACCACTTGCTGAAGTGGTTTGTGCGGTTGATTGTGGACAACCACGATCTGCAGGTGCGGTTCCGCTGGCAGAACAAGAATGATCTTGGTGAGTGCTAGCCCTAGCTAAAAGACTTGCACGTTTGATTTGACTGGTACTGACGAATTGTACGCCAGCAATCTGGGACAACCGCAGCGTCTACCACACCGCGACGTACGACTACGAGGGTCTGGGTCCCCGAACGGGCCAGCGAGCCGTCAGTCTGGGAGAGAAACCGTATCTGGACCCGAACAGCACCGGAAGACGTGAAGCCTTGGAGCGGGCTGCTGCTGCTGCTGCTAAGAAGACTGCTACTGCGTCTTCGTAACTTGATGCGTCGACCCTCGTGTGATATGACCTGGTCTTTGTTTTCTTTTATGTTGTTTCTTTTAAAGTAAATATTCGTCATGATGAGTGATAGTAAATAGTAAATAAATTATATATATCATTGAAGCGCACAAGTCGAGAAGAATATACTCCAAACGATTTATATATGCCAGTATGCATGTCTTGAAAGCAAACAACTAGTTGGTTATGCCCTGGATCTCTCAATAATAATCTAAATTAAGCTCGCGTTACTTGTCCCCCGTTCCACGGGTTGATGTCGCGTAGTAAATTGTGTTACCTATCAACCCGTGTTTACATCTTGCACTGGCTAACAATAGTAGGTATGCACATAGTCGAGACGCGAAGCAGGAATGCTGTAAAAAAAAAACAGCATAGGTATGAATGAGTGTGGCTGGCTGGTTGTCTGCAGTGTTACTCCGTAAAAAAAAATTTGTCTAACGAAAATATTCTCAGATGATTGATGAGCTGCTATCTGAAGATAGATTTGTACAAATTATGAGAGAAACAGCTGACTAATCAATATTGATTGATTGATATTATCCGTAGTACAGTACATATATCCTGTAACACTATCCTGTAACACAGACAGATACAAACACACAGATAGATGCCTTTATACAAGTACAGTACAGTACCAGACAAAAACCCAGCCCTGCAAATAACTCCATCGCGATATGTTTAGTTATACAAACCCATAATAATAAAACAAATACCAAACCGCATAGGTATTCCAACAGGTACAAATACAATAAACAAGACGCTCAGATCAATCAGAAACAAAGTGCTTGTTTTCTTTCTTTGCAGGTAAGTCAGCAGAGAACAGCTTCCAATGCTTCGACATCGCCACCCGCTTTGCGCACTGCCATCAAGGCAGCTTCGCTGATTTTTCGTCGCTTTTCCCGCGCCTCCTGCTCTCGTCTTGCTTTGGTCTTGGAGCTCCCGCTGGGAGCCACACCGGTCAGGATCTTATGACTGTCCTCCGGAGTGAAGTTCACAAACGACACACTCATCGTCTTGTTGGCTCCCTTCGGGGAACCGCCCAGTTTGGTCGCTGGCTTGGGAGCAGTCGTCGACTGCCCAGACAGTTTTCGGCTGTGGGTGCGGCGGTGGTTGTTGGTCTTACCCGCACGCGCCGCTGCTGACTTGGGAGAGGTGGTGGCGGTGGGCGACATCGATGGTGACCGCGACTGCGGCTGCTGGGCTGGTTGCGCGTTGCTAGGAGTCATAAACGACGACGCGGATGAGAAGGCAGCCTGCGGTTGCGCAGCAGGAATGTGCGGCGCGCTCGTGGAATCCAAGGCCGACGCGGAGGAGAAGGACGACTCGGGCGCAGCAGAGCCCAGGTCGAAGGGAGAGCCAAATTGGATCATCAGACCGCCCTGCAGCAGGTCGTTCTGATGGGGCAAACTGTGGATGGTTGGCTTCTCAGGAAGAATCATTGGTTGATAGGGATGCTGACTCGTGGCATGTGAGACGCGAGTCGGCATGGGAGAAGACCACCACGACTGGCTGTCATGGCCGTTGATGTCCGGGGTGAACGACACGCCCGACGCGCCAAGCGCATCTGCATGCCACGCGGGTATCTGCTGAGACTCTGACGAATGTGACGTGTGGAAAAGATCATCTGCGGAGTGGGGGCTCGACGTGGCCACGGCGGCCGAGTTGGACTGACTTAAATACCCTTGCTGCTGCTGCTGTTGCTGTTGCTGCTGTTTGGCAAGCGGGTTGCCGGAAGACGGTTGATGGAACATCGGTGAGCTATACTGCGAAGGCATCTCTAAGCCTTCGCTGCCCGACGAACCGCTCGTCGAGAGGCTCATGTGCACACCGCTGTCACGGCGCATATTCTCATGCTGGACGAGAATGTCGGATGGCGGAGGCGACAAGGGAAGACGGTCCTCAGTAGCGCCACGGAGGTTGGCGTAGTTCTGCAGCCGTTGCGTCCAGGCTTCCGGGTACGCCATCTTCGTCTTCTGCAGATGCGAAGAGCGCATCAAGCTGGGTGAAAAGCTATGCTTGCGCAGCAATGCACGACGATCATTCGGTTCCCGGCGGCTAATGGACTTTGGGGTTATTATAGCGCTCTGGGAGGAAGCTTTCCGGTTGGGCGTCACTGGGGGAGTGGACGGCGACGTGGAAAGCAGGCCAAGAGATGGAGGTAAAGGGTCTTCTGGGTTTAGGCTGATATCTGAGATGGCGGAGGGCTGGACCGTGTCCTGAAATGCACCGGTCCGCGACGGCGCGACGTCGTCTTGTTGCATGCACCACGGCCTTTTCTGCCAGGACTGCAGTGGTGACTGCGCGAGTTGCTGCGAAGAAGAACCAATGGGCGAGAGGTCGCCACAGTCACTGGACAGCGACCCGGGGAGGAACAGCTGGTCCAGATCGCCCGTGAATGGGCCTACGTCTTTGTTGCCGTCACCACTGGCGGCAGGGTCCATATTGACGTATTGGTTAAATAGGTCGTTGAACGAGTGGTCGAAGGCCGGCGCGAACATCGTGATAGGGCTTTGTCTTCCGTTTGCGTCCAAGAGGGAAGGTCCAGGGAGACCGGGGAGCCGATGCTCAGCAGTCGCTGACGTCGATTGCGATTGGTGAAGGCGCCACAGATGGACAGTCGCCCAGGCAAGTCTGGCGGATCGACGAGTGGAGTATGGGGTATCTTCCGGATATCCGCCCAGTTCCAACAAAGTCAGCCGGAGCAAGCTGATGGCTCTGTTTGACAAGTGTTGAAAAGATGCAAAGCAAGCAAAGCAAACAAACAGACACGGCGCCCTATTTGAATTGTGCTGCCGGACGCTGTCCAGCCTCCGGTTTTCGAGGTGCATTCCTCGCGATCTAAAGAAAGATCGGTGGAATGTGGCTGGGCTGGAGGCTCGAGCTGACGCATAGCTCTGATTGACGCCTCGCCCGGGCGATTCCTGTCCTTCTTGAGCGCTCACTGGAGGGCGAGCATTCCAGTCGCTGATAAGACTCGATAGGCCAGGGCGTCAAGCCACAGTGAAGAATGTAGCGATCCACTAAGCCAGAAGCAGCCAGACAGCACCTCAGAGAGACTGCGGCGGGTCAGCAAGCCGGAGCAAAAGCCAATCGAGACATAGTCCGCAGTTGATGGAGGGCTTGGATCCAAGAAACCACATCTGGATACAAAGATTATAGGCCCGAGACTCAGCATTGGCACTGCGATGCTAACAATGGGGTCGCATCTCAAGTAAGCCGCCGGCCTGTAGTCGAAAGTGTAAGCGTCATAGGAAAGCTCCCTACTGGCATCGCGGCCAGTATCGGCTTCTCACTCATCCAGACTGCAAATGACGAGCCTCGGGATTTCCTCAACGTTTGCCTCGGGGAGGAGGCCTTGCCTGGTGAGTCGTTCTCTCTGGCTCTGGTAGACGGGCCGAGACCCTCAACATTACTGTCGACTGGAATGCTGAGGCTGGGAGGAATGTTGCAACGCCAACACCAGCAATGCTTAGGTAATTGTCCACTGTGTGTACTGTGTAGATGCCGGTGCAGACATGCCAAAAGAAGTTTCGGCATGTACTTCCCCTGCGATTGATTGGTTTTTGATTCTTCGAGGATCCAAACTGTTTCTCAACCTCTTCTGGCTCAACCCTTCCTGTAGGGTAACTCTATCGAGGGTATCAAGCTCTTCAGGCGTCCATGAGCCCATCAGGGACCGAAACACTCCATTTGAAGATTTGAACAAACCATGGCTTTCAATGCCCATCCCACGTGAATGACTTGATGCCTGAGGCCTGCTCCTTTGTTGGCAATACAATGATTGTACCAACAACGTGCCGTAGAGCCGAATTGTTCAAATAATGAAGTCCTCGATCGTGAAAGTTAATAGACTGAAGGAGGCCAATCTGCAACGACATTCTGAGTGGACATGGCTTGTTGTCAAATATAGGACAAGGAGTCTTGGACCTGTGAAAACTGACAAAGACACGTTTCATTTTTCCGTCCTGGGAAACATTAATAATACACATGCTAGGATCCATGCATTGGATCAGTTAGGAGAGCTTTAATGACAAGTGTCTTGGTGGTTCCAAGACCGGACCTGCTGTGCTGATCATATGTTAGCTATGGCAGATGGAGTGCCATCATGCTGAGAATAGCACATCATGATCTTCAAATAGAAACAAAATAGGCGAAGGGGCATGCTTCCGAAAGCTGCTAGCTCCAGAATCCAGAGTCCAGTGTAATTGAAATGGTACCTGGCGGCTGCTCATCCCTGTCGTTACTGTCTTCTCCGCCAATGGCTTGTAAATCACCCGTATACTACGCCAAGAACACAAAGAGAAAGGTCTTCAATGCCTTGGCGGGTGTTGGAACCTTGAAAGGCTCGAATCGATGGGAAGTCTCGGAGTTGTTCTATTCTTTGAGCATAGCCCTCGACTCTGGCTGGACCTGGTTCTATGGAAATCCGGGGGCAAATCATTGCTGCATTTGTCCAACATAGCTAGCTCACTCAATTTCAACTCAGTAGTATCTGTAGAGGCAGAAGATGAGCGTCTCATCATGACAGATGAGACCTGTTGCAACATCTCATCTCATCTCATCAGTCGCAAGCAGCAAGGTCGCATTCCGGAGATCAGGCTGTTTGTTGAGCCGCAAGGCCGGCGTTAGTTCGGCAATGACGTTGGCCGGTCCGGGGGAAACGCCGAAGCCTTCCGAACGCGAGGAGTCATGATGGCAACAATACTGCCCTGCTTTGTCTCACCCTGGACGCACCCTCTCCCTCCAAGCACAGTACCACCGCTATCGCCTGAATCACATTAACAACATCTCTCGTTTTCCAGAGGGATATCCTACTGTTCTGTGTGCTCCTTTGGTCGCGCTGTGTTTCCGCCATTTTCCTTGCCTAGCCGTGCTCCACGGGGTGACTGCGGGGAACGACTTGAAGCCCAACGCAACCCCTCCTTGTGCATCATCGTCAGTTTGGAGCCGGCCTTGCTCAGATCTATAACCACTGACAGCATTTTTGACGGCACACGAGACGTGGAAGTGTCTGCTGCCCGGCCTGACGCGTCGTGTCCTGCAGATCAAACACGAACAAACGCGAAATCGAGCTATCCTTGTGATCCTGCGTTGGATTGTGCAGAAGGGACATCGCGCGGGGAAGGATACAACTAGAGAAGAGAGAAACTGCTGTGGGAAGAGCTGCAAAGGAAATCTCGACACGATCAGGACCAGTCCATCCAGCCAAGGCATCCATCGCCAGTATCCGTTGACCGCAAGCAGGATCGTCGACTCTATTATAATATTCTTCTAATCTGCGGCTGTTTGTCTACAATGTTTCTGAACGTTCGGTTGGCCGGCGTCTTGCCGGTTGTTCTGCCTTGAGCTACCAGGATGGTGCCTGCTCTTCACCATGGACTCCTCGCGTATTGTTCGTGGCCGGAGCCCTCCAGTCTCAGCGGATCCAAAGATCATAGCCAGGACAAAAAAGTGATTTCAGTCTAGCCGCTTATTTTGTGACTATCCTTATCTGGGGTACAATCCACTGTCGCCTGAATCAGGCACCCTCTGGCGTTCTTCCTCTCGAAATCTTCCGCCGCAACTATACCACGCATTCGTTTCAAGACGACAGGCTTTACCCCGCTCGAGATCCTTTGCAACTGCTGAAGGTTCTCTGAATTTGTGCGAACCTAATTCCTCACTTAAAAATACACGACAAATGATCACGATGGAGGGCATTCACCACATAAAAGCCGCCTGGCACTCGTTCCCACCCCTCCTGTCACGCTCGAATTTCGCAACTCCTGTCTGCCGCGACAGTGCGTATGCCTCAGATGAAGTCTCTGATGCCGCCTCGGTTGCCACTTCGTTCACTGCTGTGACCAATACCTCATCCCAAGTCCCAGAAATCGGCATTCCGATTCCCCAAGGACCAAGATCTATCCTCAAAAAGGCGCCTCTGGACGCTGAAGCGACTGATATTAGAGACTTCGAGTCGGGCTATGAGTCTGACGACTCGGAGTCAGAATTCGCAGAACAATTGGAATTCAGTGTTTCTGCGGAACAGGAATCGGACACTGATGTTCCGGTTGATGACATCTTTGATTGCGAGCTCTCCTCGGAGGCCCCTTTGGACCAGGATGACTCTTGCGCCGAGGACGATGATGGCGAAACGGACGAAATCGACTTCGATGATTCACACATCACGTTTGAGAACTCAGTCAGGTTCGATACGGACGTCTCCTACATCGAAGCTCCAGAAGTCGACGATGACGAATGCGATGAGCCTGAGATGACATGGCACGAAATTATGGAGAGGGCCCGTGGTCGGCTTCAGATGATCGATGCAGATGGCGCCAGTGACAACGCTTCCGACGGTTTCATTGAGGATGACTGGGAAAGGAACATCCCGAACGGACCGGAAGAACATCCTCGTGACATGGTCGAGTTGGACAAGCAGCTTTTCATCGCCTACATGAACGGCATCCATGGCGTTCCCGACAACAAGTATAAAGCTTTACTGCAGACGCGTGCTCAAGAAATCAGGGAAGGCCGCGTCCACTGTCCTTTCTTCGAATCCGAAACCTTCCACGGCGCGTATCTCGACGAAGTTCTCAATCACGTCATCGGCGTCTTCCGGAATGTTGTTTTACGGGACGAATTCGAAGAGCTTGTCCGTCTCTGCGAAGCCAAAGTTGCACTGGAGCAATCCGACGTCTCTCCTCAGGAGCTTGGACGCCACACGAAGGACTTTCTGGACAAGATCGAGCGCCTGCTCTTGGAGAGGCTAGCTGAGGGAAAAGTGACGATTGGAAAGGATGAGCTCAGCTTCTTCGCTGGCGGGATCGCATATGCGCTCGAAAATTGGGGTGTCTACACTTACGACGACGTTACGACGGACAAGCAGGTGTCTTAACGACGATACGAAGACACGAATAGACCACAAAAAAGAAAAAAAGAAAGCAAAAAGGAACAGAAAATCCATACCTTACGACATGAACGGAGACGCTGGCAGTGATTGAGTTGTTGACGGGGTCGAAGAAAAGCCGTCTGCAGTTCTGAATGCGTGGCATGGTACAGTTCAAGTACAGTACATTCCACACGCCGGCGTGTGCTATAGAAAATCTGCATATCTATCATCGTCATCATCATCATCATCCATAATCCTTAACCATCATCTTTGTTTGTGTGTGTGGGCGTCTAGGAAGGATTTCTTTTCATATAGCTTAGACCGTCATCTTTGTTCGGGCTTACGCGAGATAGACATGAAATAAAAGTTCTATTTTTATTTCACTCTTAACTATGTAGGGCATACAGAGTAGTAATAGAGTCGCGTGATTGTCGCAAAACAAACAGCGATGGCGACTGATTTCGAAGCCCAGCACTAGTTCTTACGAGTAACCCAAGATTTACACCCTTCGTAGATGACTCATGACAGAGCCATGTTGATGGCTGCCTAGGTACTTACCTACCTATCGACTTAACTGGAAAGGTACCTAGGTACCTAGGTATGGTATGGTATGGTATATCCCGGTCCATCCATGGATGAATAGGCAGAGGAACCGCAGTCCGTCAGTCAGTAAGTCAGTACCTACCTAGGTACCTAACTACGGTTGGTACTCTTGCTACTTTAGGTACCTAGGTAGTTGTTGGTAGTTAGGTAAGTTTCCATGGTTTTAAAAGGATGCTCCTCCTGAGAGGGATATATGTACGGTGTTCCTGAAAGAGAAGTAGATTATAGCTAGCTACCATTTCTGAGAACTGCTTGACAGTATCTACCAATATAACTGGATACAGTACCTAATCAATTCACAGCAAGGCTGGTTTGACCTGAGTGGAGGGACTCTTTTTTTTTTTGAACTGATACTACAGTAATTCCAAGGGTTGAGGAAATGAAGAGGAGAAGAGAAGAGAACAAAACAAAGAAAAAGTAAGGTAAGTCAACCACTGCATGCTAACTTTTAACTTTTGTTGGGTGTAAAAGGAAAAAAAAAGTTCATAAAGAAAGGGCAGCTCAGCTCAGCTCAGTTGAGGTACTGTGCAGTACCTATGTTGGCTGGTAGCATGGTGGTGACACATCATGTCCATTTCTTGCAGACTTCAGCTCACGCCTGCAAAGAGTTAGAAAGCATGAGATAAGCTGAGGGATGCAGTATCTCAAAAGCTTCACTTCACGCCAGAAATGGGGAGGCTGGGGGTGGCACACAACGTAGGTGTTGGGTGGGTGGAGGCGTGTGACTTGTTCTTTGTATGGCTTCAGTACAAGCAGAAAGAGAAGCAATAAAGAGCCACAGCCAGGCTTTTAAGTCAGGTGAAGCAAACTATCATTCTTGCCGGATTTCCTCCACACCTGAAAGATCTTGGAAAACTGGCTTTGTGTGGGCTATATAGTATCTTAAAAGCTTCACACTCAAAATGGGGGTGGGGGTGGGGGCATACCTAGTGAATGCATAGAACACGACCAGAGCAGCCTCAGTAGGAGGGAGAAAGAGAGAGGCCTCTATAGCTCCAGGTCAGATGAGGCAAACCTCATTCTCGCCGGATTCACTCACCACCTCAGAAATCTTGGAAAGGTGGTTTTATATGGGCTGTATAGCACCTCAAAGGCTTCACTTCATACCTAAACTGGGGGGAGGTAGTGAATGACTGGAAGAACATGACCTGGGTAAGGGTCTGGCTAGCCCAGCAGTTTGTTGTTCTGCATGCTGCTCTGTATAAGAGGGAGAGAGAACAATGAAGACTACCAGGTCAAACTCTCACTTTTTCCGGATTCATGCTACACCTCATAGATTCTGGAAAAGTGGTTTTGTATGGGCTAGGTAGCATCTCAAAAGCTTCACCACATCTCAAGAGAGGGAAGATGAGTACCTGGGTGAATGGGCATGACTTAGGTGGGAGTCTGGGTTGTCTGGCTGAACAAAGGAACCTCCAGGCCTCTAGGCCATCTAAAGCAA